AAAACTTTCAAATTCAAATTGGCTGTAACCTGTTGTACGTAGCAATTAAAAAGATAAAAAACCTAATAATAAATTCTAACTAAATAAAAAATTTACTGGTTGGTAAATTTCTGAAAAAATTGGTTTGGAATATCAAAAAATTTCCCGTTTATAACAATGTTTTCATGGCGTATTGATTCAATAGATTACTAATTTTCCATACTTTGTTCCTTCCTTTGTCTTCCTAAGTGCTATGTTTTTGCAGTCTCATACAGCAACTTTATTACACAAATTGCAACCCTTAATAATTCTCAGTAGCCTACGATCCTTTGTTTTTTAATAGAAGCAAACATATAAGAATATTAAGAGGGTTGCAGTTTTTTTCATACACCCTGTATATATTGTTTCATGAACAACGAAACTATGTTAGGAATCTACAATAACGAAAGTTCAGCTTATCACGAACGTGACATGTCTATTCTACGGCAAAAATTTATCTGTTCTGGAAATACCGTTCTGGAAATACAATTTCAGTTTACTTTTCCGCGCCCAGTTGCGAAGTATGTTACGAGATTGGCAACTACGTTTCGAATTACGGAAGTACGTTGCCAACTTCCGTATCTAATTCCAATTGTAAATTTGAATTTACATCGCAACGAAGTACGTTGTTTTACCTTGTTACTTACAGCTTTTTCTTGCGTTACGAAGTGCTTCGTTCCATATTTATAATTCAAATTGATTCAATTCCTGTATACTTTACATATTTACATATTTGCATAACTGCTAAGAACAATTAATGTACTTTGTTGCGACCTAAATTCAAATTTACAATTGGCAACGTACTTCCGTAATTCGAAACGTACGTAGCTCCAATTTCCTAACAAACGTCGTAACTCGGCGCGGAAAAGTAATCTGAAATTGACGGTAACAGAATCAGTTGGACTGCAATTAAAAATGAAAATATGAAATATTCAGTCTATGATGCACCCTAACTTCCTGGTCCAGCATTTATAACATTTAGTGCTGAACAGATGGTCATGAAGTAGTTTATACAAGCAAACCTCTAATCTTAATTCCTCTTCTTCTAATTCATTCCCCACGCCAAATACCTTTTTTGCAAAATCTACTATCATGGTAGTACACTTCAATGCAAACTGGAGAAGTGTATAGTTCTCTACGTCGGTAAATACGAAAATTCTTACCATTTGCTGTACATTCAACTCCGACGTCATTCTCATGCGAGCAATGATTATCCCCCCAACTACTAAGAGAACAATTTTCTATTTTTTCTTCATTTCCTGAACAATCGATGGAATCCAACCATATTCTCCCAGAACCGAGTGGAACCTCGTCTCTTTGTAGAGCCCTAACAGCATCATAATACCCAAGCTGACGACATATAACCCTGTAGCTAGCATTTGCTACAAATCTCGTGAACAAGGGCCATCCCTTCGATCCCTTATGTTCATGTCTACAGATTGTTCCCCACTGCCCATAGTAGAAGACCTCAACACGGCCACTACCATTTGCACTCATTGGTCCTTGTAACCTCAGTCGCAATGGTATAGCGGTAAAATCTTAAAGAAATAGTAATGAATGGTAGTCGTACCACAGATAGCCTCCTAACAATCGCGCACGCCGTGGTATGTATTATATATCTATATTGCTTCATAAGGTTGGCAACTCCCGCTCAAATTTTCAAATTTACGAACTGTATAGACAAACTTACACATGAAAATACGTGTACTTAAATACATAATATACACAAAAAATTAATCTATGTGGAAACTGACTTTTCTAAAACATTTGTAAAACATTTTTTCTTTTAAGAGCCATCGCATATATAAGAAATTTTTGAAAATACAAAACTTTTTTATTGAATTTTGTGAAAAGTCGTCAGAGGGGCTCAGGATCCTATCATCCTGCCTACGTCACAGCAAATACGCGATCTGATTGGGTGGTTGATGTAGACAAAACTCAAAACTGGACGAATCAGATCGCGTATTTGCTGTGACGTAGAGCAGAGTAATGGGATAATGGCGGCTTTTCCAAAAATTTAACATAAAAGTGTTTGTATTTTCGCAAATTTCTCATATTTGCAACGGCTATTATAATAGAAAAAAAAACTGGGAAATGGTTTAGGGACATCAGTCCCCAGATTGATTTAGCCTTTTTGTGTATAATTTTGTATTTAAGTACGAGTAGTTTCATTTGTAAGTTTGCGTATACAGTTCGTAAATTTGAGAATCTGAGCGAGAGTTGCGAATCTTCCAATTTCGTATACTTTGTAAGCAAATGCCTCAACTTCCAGTCTTTGATTTAAAATTATTTGGATTTCAAACATCTCATCCAAAAAACGTATTGTTTTATACTTTTCTTAAACATTTTAAAATTGTCTTCTTTTTAACCCAACTTTTCAGGTCACTTTGCTACCCCAATGATCGACAAACCAAAAAACGTCAGAACTGATTTCATTGTTATAGAGAATAATCATAAAAACAACCCATTTAATAGGCTATATATAGGAAAGCAATTTAAAAAAATATGTCTGCGTTAAGGAGATAAAGTGGAATGTTTTTACAAATCATGGCAAATCTAAACGCAATATTTAAATACTTTTTTAAACATTAATATTTTGATAAAATTTACACGCGATTTTCTGGATTTAATTATTCGTTGCATTGCATTATTGTATTATGACTTACCTGTCGGGGAACATTGCACACCGGCAATTCCCCCCCTGGGATGGGCTTCTGAAGTAAATTTAAAATCATCGTGATAACAGTTTGTAATGTTTTGTTCATGCCCGGTACAATCGATATTTCCATACCACATCGGTCCAGGACTATGAAGAACAAGATTCCTTTTAAGAGTCGTTGCATTATCTGGATTATAACCAAGTTGACGGCATGCAACCTTAGCATTTCTTTTATTCCAATAATAACCAGACATTTTTGCCCAATATCCGTGATAGAGTATTTCAACACGACCAGTACCATTTTCACTCAATGGTCCTCGTAATCTTAGTCTCACGGGTATGCTGGTAAAATCTTGGAAGAATAATGGAGTGTTTTAGCTCAAGCCGCGGTAATCGTAAATTTGATTAACTGTTTTTTATGATGTGTTTTATAAGATTTACAACGAAATGAAGGCGAGGGCATGGTTGTAGAATCGTATCAATCACGAACGAACTATTTTAACATTCTTTCTTATCAGTTTATCGGTGCAGTTTGCAATAAGCATTTAAATAGACTTGGAATTCAAGTCTATTTTTCTCTCCAAGGCTTTTTCTCAGTAAAGTTTTCACATCCACTTTAAAACCGCCTTAGCTCACAAGCGCAAATGGTTGGTACAATTATGAATTATTGTTACGAAGTTTCAAACCCTTTAATTAGACGAACTTATACATGGAAGAAGCACCCTAAGATTTATGGGTGGGAATGCATGTGTCACTAGCTTCCACCCACTTTTACTTAAACTATGCAGCTACAGTAATAATTCATTCTGTCCTTAAAATTCGGACAAATGTTCCCGAAGTACCTCAAACGCCCTGCCTGGCAGTGCTCCCTCTTCCCCCTATTTTTTTATGCCCGTAAGCTTTGATGAGATGATTGATCTTAGTTTTTTAACATTTCCATAAACACAGTTGGTGAAGGGTTTATTTCTTTAACTTTTAACTTTATACAAGTTCAAGATATAAATATACGTGATCAAAATATACTGGGAAAAATGTGAGTTGAGTTTTGTAATATGTCTAATATCTATACACATCCAATTGACGAATTATTCATTTTTAACTTTATACCTGTTGTACTGCATTCTACGCCAACGTCATCATCATGAGAGCAATATCGATGCTCCCCCCAAAGAGTGTGACGACAACTTGTGATATTTCGTTCCAGTCCGGTACAATCGAGGCGGTTTAACCATATATCCCCTGAACCAGAAGAGAACTCGTTTCTTTGAAGGGTCCTAGCAACGTCTTGATAACCAAGTTGACGACATACAACTCTGGCATTTCTCATATTCCAACCATGATCACAGATTGTTCCCCAATATCCATGATATAATATTTCAACACGGCCAGAACCATTTGCGCTCGACGGTCCTTGCAACCGTAGTCTCACAGGTGTATCTGTTAAGTCTTAAGAGTGTATGCGATTTGTTAGATCAATGTTGAAAAATCCTCTAGTTATTATCTTACAACATTTGATTATACCTCCGATGATTGATGAAGTAAATTATGCGGTAAATTCGTACCTTGTGTACTGCATTCTACGCCAACATCGTCGGAATGAGAGCAAAAATGAACACCCCAACCCCTATGAGTACAACTTGTGATATTTCGTTCTTTTCCAGTACATTCGACGTCAGATAACCATATCTGCCCTGAAGCAGAGGGAACCTGGGTACCACGAAGGGCCCTAAGAACATCTTGGTAACCAAGCTGACGACACGCAACCCTGGCATCTTTCATACTCCAGGCATAATCACAGATTGTACCCCAATATCCATGATAGAATACTTCAACTCGACCAGTTCCGTTTTCGCTTAGTGGTCCTTGTAATCTGAGTGGCACATCCGCATCTGAAAAGTCTAAAAAATATGTGTATGCCATCAATCAACGAAAGTAGTGGAAACACTTCCTTAAACACAACTATAATATTCTTATAGAATTTAGAAATGCGGCGCTGTTATTGCTTAGATCTTCTATCATAGTTGAAAGTCCTTTAAATAACCCAGGGTGTATAATATGAGATACTCCAGGTAAGAAAAATTATTATATTTTGCCCTGACTAGCAGAAAAAAAGAAAACATTTCCCGCCATTTTCGTGATACACGGAGGCTCGCGTTTTCCGCATATTGATATTTACCGGTGAACATGAGTAATATTTACTGGTGAATGTAAATAAAACCACCGCTGCAGCGAATACGGATGACGTAAGCGCGATACGGTTAAAAATTGCATGATCACGTGGCAAAAATCTAGCTTTCTCATTGGACAGTTGGAATTTGAGGTATAATATTTAACACTCATTTACCGCGACCGAAGGAACAACTATGTTTTGTGGTGCCGCGAGATCGGTCGATATTAATATATACCGCTTGTCAATAAAAAAAAAGGAACAGCAAGGTAAACAGCAAATTTCGCCACCCTCGCATGATTCGCACTCACGAAACGCTACAAACACCAAACTTTGATAAGTGGTATATAGTAATTTTATTTGACAAGCATCAAGCATTATTTTTTGTGAATTGGATTTATGATCTACTTAGTGATCGTGAGAAGAATTTTCACCATTTTTCTGCAATAGTCGCAATTGACAGGCGAGATGAAAAACAACGAAAACGGAAGTCTTTGAACTGTTAAACGTACAGGTTATATATTCATATTTTCCGTAAGAATGCACGAACGTTTGCTATTCTTGAATGTTTTAATAACTAATTAAAATTAGGAACGTATTTCTAATATTTGAAATATTTTTGTTGTAGAAGTGCTATAAACGCACTTAGTACTGCAGTTGACTGTAAAAGATGAATTTTTATTGCCTCCAATACATCTTCAAATGTCTTATGGTTCCCCTATTTTTTTACTGCCCCTTTCATCCTATATAATTATCATTATGAAACCTCTTTACGAATAGTTTACAACAAAAATGAAATTCAAAATGTGTCATTCACAATGAAATGAATGTAAAACTTTCTCTCGTAGCTATTCAGGGGGGATGGTGGTTATAACGTTTCACATGTTCTGTCACAATACTTGTGTGTATTTCTAAATAAATTAAAACATTATATTCCGAACAAATCAAATTAATCGTCAATTTTCTACCTGTTTTTGTACATTCAACACCAGCGTCGTTCGAATGCCGCCAATAAGGAGAACCCCAACGTCTGTGAAAGCACCCCGTTATATTCGGTTCTTCCCCAGTACAATCCATTCCAGACAACCATATTTTCTCAGAACCAGAAGGAACCTGGCCGCCATGAAGGGCCCTAGCAACATCTTTATAGCCAAGTTGACGACAAACAACCCTGGCATCTTTCATATCCCAATTATCGTCACCGATTGTTCCCCAACGTCCATTGTAGAAAACTTCAACACGACCTGTGCCATTTAAACTTGACGGTCCTTGCAGCCTTAGGGGCACAGCTAAAAAATCGTAGGAGAAATTGAACATGAATGTCAATGCATCTGTACGAATTAGAGCTAAAACAAACCAATAGGTTATGTTATTCCAGAACGATATACTCTTTATCGAATCCCGGAGTGATACTCTTTGTGTTTTTCTATTACCACTAGAAAAACATGCATGTATTACGTACAACCTCTAGCCATTTCAAACCGAGCAAACCATTTTCTATACATGCTAGCAAGTCATTTCGATTAAATTTACCAGCCGCATACATTAGCTACAATACCGACTGCCGGCAAAATAAATTATGGGCGCATTCATGCTATCTTATACAATATACAGACCAGATGGAAAATAGCATAAACTTATAATTAAACACAAATTTATAAGCAAGTAGTGGAACGTGTAAAACTATAAAGGACAAGGGATTGTTTTTTATCTCGAAGCTTTTGATCTTCTCTAAGAAAAGCTATCTTTTTCAATCACTCTGAATCTTTCAATTGGCCTCTGGTTATCGCGTAATAATCCGAGATAGATCAGAATTATTACGCGATAATCGCTTACTGTACATAGATAATATTATAAATAACACTAGAGGGGGCAGCGAGGAAAAAATTGGGGAGCGCGTTAATGGGTGGAAAATTCAAGTAGGGATTTTCACTCACTCACGATGTCCGAGAACAAAATAAGTCGTTTTAAAGGAGTTTTTAATTTCTAAATGTTTTTTGCCTAAAATATCATTTCAGGATTTCTAAGGTAGTAAAACAAGTTCCAAAAAAACCCTGCCGGTTCTCCCTCAAATTCTCCCCATAAATTTTTAATACAAATTTTAGTTGTTGCTAACGTGGTTGCTATGGAGGCATTGACGTAGCCAATAAGGGCGAGGCTTGGCATCCGGGACTTGAACTTGCCCCACATTAAAGCGCTCCCTTTTTCGACTGATGCTTCCGATAACAAATCCTCTAGTTTTATTTATGATCACTATGGTACTGTAAGCGAATTTTTCAAAATGGCGGGGAGTTGTTTTTCGGTTAAAGTGACATATGAGAAAATACGTCATTTTCGCAAAAATACTGTACCTGAAACCACAAAAAAGTAAAAAAAGTAGAGGAAAAAATAGAATTGTTTTCAAGGTAAAAATTATTTTCTAGAACGCTTATCTTGCGAAAACATTGTTATATTTGAATCACCGCGAACTGTGGACACATTTGTTTACATTTGTAAAACTGTTATTAGGGGCGATCACGTAATTAGGGCCCCCCCCTCGCTGGTAAAACCTGTATTTTCTTTCCTCTCGGTATTTATTCAGCAATACTCACCTTGCCTTCGGCAAATAATTATTATTTATAGACTTGGGTGAGGGGGAGTCGACGAAATATTTCCTGGAAATATTATTACTCAGGAAAATATTTTTCAAATTCACTCGAGCGAAATGTCTATAAAAGATATTTTATACGGAACTGAGCTTGTAGAATAGCCAAACATACAAACAGTAGAAAGGTTCAGAAAGGATTTCTATAAATCAGTAAAAGTACTCGAAGAACTAGGCGTAAAAAATTACTGCAAAACGTATTTTAACACAAGTGAACTTTTTTCTGTTTTTTGTATGTCTTTCGTCGAGACTATGGTTAATTCTCTCATTATATAATCGTTAATTTTTTTATTTCAAACAAACAACAACACTATTCCCGCCATTTTCTTCATACATGGAGGCTCACGTGGTTTTTCTGCGAATTGGTATTCGCCAATGAATATGAGTGGTATTCACCGGTGAATATAAAAAAATCTGGCACTGCAGCGAATACGGTTGACGTTAGATCGATACGTTGAAATATTTCATGATCAATTGGCAGAAATCTAGCTTTCTAATTGGACTATTTGAATTTGCGGTATAATATTGCTTTAAAATACACTAGAATAAAGAACATGATGTAGCTATACCTGTTTTAAGACATTCAACTCTGACGTCGTCAAAGTAATTGCAAGAATCACTAACCCCCCAGCCATTGTGGGAACAACTTGTTATTGTTTCTTCTTCACCAGTACAATCGACATTTTTTAACCATATTTTTCCAGAACCAGAAAAAATCCAGCTTGAATAAAGTACCATACCCGAATCTATATACCCAAGTTGACGACATACAACCCTAGCATCTCTAATGTCCCATCCATCATTACAAATTGTTCCCCATGTTCCGTTGTAGAATACTTCAACACGACCAGTGCCATTTGCACTGCGTGGCCCTTGTAATCTGATCGGCGCAGTTATAGCTATAATTGAACAAGAATAAAAATAAACGATAAAATATGAAGTCAAATAGTCAAATGGGGAGAAATTTTTCATGTTCACAGACCTTAAAAACAATCTATTTGAAAAGAAATAACGTAAAACACGAATATATGATTATGTCCCCCCCCCCTTATGAAGCTGGCGAAACCACTGGTATTAGGTCAGTTTCAGTCAAACGTGCCGAACGCAGTTAAACAAATGATCGTTCCTTGTCTTGTTGTTTAATGCGTTCGGCACATACGAGTTGAGCCAACCAGGTTTGAACTTCGGAACAGGCTTTATTTGATACGACCACGCCGGTCCAAATTAGCTAAATTTCTCCCACCTGTGCAGGCTAATATTGTTAGCGGACAACTTACACAAAATTGAGAGTCGTGCCCAAAGCAAGAGTGGGAATTTTGTTTGCGCTGGTAAAAAAAATGCGGGCGTGAAGCTTCTTTTTATAGTTTTTACGTTCGAAGTGGGTTTTTGCTTTTGCTTCTGTTTTCAGTCTGGCAAGTCAACGAGATTTTGCTGAGATTTGTTTTCAACAAGCATTCTTTTTAAGTTCAGACCAATCACGAACTTGGATTGTGAAGCCAGATACAATTTAAGCTGCGAGAAGATAAGGCAAAACGCTTGTTGAAAATATTGTCAATTTTTAAGACAGTTATGGAGCAAAAAACTTTCTTCGGGAAACTAAGGGTAAGTGAGTATATATATGATTTTTTAACTCACAGAAAATGTTTAAACATTTTTTACTGGATCGTCACACAAGATGATTGCCGTTCAAACTTCGTTTTTTTCGGTAATATCAGATATTTCAGGAGAATTTGTGAAAAATCTAGTCAAGTGCCTCGAAACGAGAGCCGCTTTAAAAGAGCCTTTATTCTATAAACTTTTTATTTTTACACGAATTGTATAGTCGTAAAAATTCGGACTGATGCGAATTTCGACACATTTTAGGACTGGGTGTTTCATTATCATTATTAATTTGTGGCCGCTCAAATGCGCTTTAAAATCATATTATTTTGTTTAGATTTGTTTGAAAAAAACGTAAATTATTTTAAGATTTTGCCAAGTGCCTCAAAAATGAAACAGGGATAAAAATAATGTCTCTTAATCATAGTTCTTGTACACAAACTCATGATTGCTTTCAAAATTCGGCCTCATATAGATGATAACATGGGCCTATTAAAGCGAAATTTCGAAACGGGTGGAAGACATGAGCGCTTTACCAGCGTACTCCGACCGCCGCCCGAGCATTCAACGAGTGTGAAATTCCTATTGCTTTGATTTAAAATTCTATTTATTATCCAACAAATATCTATTCAAATAATTCTATTCATCATCCAAGCAAAAGTCGAAAATATCGATACGTGCTCAAGAGAACAAAAAGCGAAGAGAACAATAAGCGAAGGTTCAGTTTTCTGTGCATCATTTTGTTTATTTTGGCTTTTAATCTCTTAAATGCCTTAATTTTCCCGCGCTTCCAACGGAAAACTTTCTCGCGTCTGTCACGCACTGACGCGTGTGTCACGCGCTGAGCCCTCTGTACTGAGCCCTTTTTATTAGAAGAAAATTTACCGAATACGGCCAATGTGCTTGGACAGTATCAGCAAACACAAAATACGGCTAACACAAAATCAAAATAAATATCCGCTTGGAGAAGACTTTACAAAAAAAATTAAAGGGTTTTATGAGACGTCTGACCTTATATTTTACGTAAAAATAAAAAAAAACTTTTACCATAACACTAATGATAGTTGAGTAATTTAATTCACACAATGGTTTTGCCGTAACCAAAAATAATTGGTCACTTGCATGCATATGTAAGAACCAGTACGAAATGGCTGTTTTAACCAATAAAAATAAGCGTTCTTAATAGTTATTTTAACCAGAAAAAACTGGTCAACACAACCAATATATTGGGTTGGTTGACCATTTATTACTGGTTTAAAATAACCCAGCCAAATGACTAATGCCTATTCAAAAAGCTCACTCATACTCATTGAGTACGATCAAGATTGCTGATTAATCTGTTTTAATCTCTGGAATGATTCAAGATTGAAAATTCTTATTTGTGAGAAGATTGAGATCTCCCATGCACTCAATGAGTTTGAGTGAGCTTTTAGAATACAGGCGTAAGTGAATAAACAATAATATATAAAAAAATATTTACCTTCACAATGGTGTGATACAAAATGTAAACCAAAAATCACGCCAGTTATGATGGCGAGACTCATTATTTTGTGAACCAGCGAAGCGAAAGACACGTCACTTGAAAAAAATAAGAATTTCAAATTGTACGTGAAATCAAGGGTAAACTATCTATTGCATTAAGAAAACCTGCCGTGATGCATATGAGTAATATTTTCAGTTTATAATTTTGATAATCTTTAGGCTAAACTAGTCAGTTGTGAAAGTGTGAAGTATAGCTAAAATAAAACATGTAATAAAAGATGCGTTTCATGTACAAGCATTTTCAAACGTGAGGGTGCATGTTCATATTGAAAAGCCGTTTAAATCGTTATGAATTTTACAAATTGAATGGCAATGAATAGATTTAATGACAGATGTATATGTACTTCTGTTTGGTTCGAAATCATAAACAAAGCGTTTATTTTCTTATAATCATTTGGATCCTTTCTATGTTTTGTTGAGGGATATATGGAGCCGTATAATATAATATAAGTTTTAGATTTGGATGTATATTGGAAAGCAAATAACCATGCGATGTTGAGCATCGATAGGGACTTTCTCAGCTTACTATTATTTTTGTCGCTTAATACAATTTGATAGCTTTCCAAACGTAATAAAAAGATCATCATATATGACACGAGACATTAATAAACATAATTTAAATAAGCCAAAAGAAGCGACAGTATACGTAGGACTACTATACACAGTAGTTATATTACGTCTTAAAGCTCATATGTGAAGGCCCCCTATAAAATGCGCATAGACCAAATGTGGTGAATCAATTCTGATTCTAGATTTCTAAAGGGGCCGCCAAAACTGCGATCATGAGATAAGATGCATGCATGGGGATTTAAAAGATTTCATAACAATACGTTGCCACAAGGTTACAGGATAATCAGTCTTTTTATTATTAACCGAAAAATAGAAAGATGGAGCCTCAACTATATAATTTTAGCAGAAACGTGCTTACCGTATGTTCTATACTGCTGATCGGTTTCCTGATCTGTTTGTTCCCTGATCTGTTTGCAATATGACCTTTCTGTCTGGACCGACTCCCTATATCGTTAAATAGAATTAAGCCTCTATAATAAACGTTAAAGTATAATACAAACGGCGCATACGAAATATACAATCCGTATTCTAGATCTCGACTGCGTTTTAGACAGAGATAGCACTGAATTACATCAGATTACAGTGAAGGTTAAAACGGAGTAACATTATACCAACAACTTCCTGGATACAACATACAAGGAATGTATAAAAAGTTTTCTATAACAACAGCATAGGACAGGTAATCCTGACGCTAAAAAACAAAGGCGAAAATGTTGTGCTAAATACAAAATTCTCGAAAATTGGTCTCAAAATTCTCGAAAAATTATTAACTCGACCTAAATTGACGCTGCGGACAAAGGCGTTTAATTCATACTTGCTCTAGAGATAAATGAGACATCTGCTTTTGAATGAACCTGAGATATTACGGGGCGCAAATCCGATCTACTTTCTCACTTTTTTTAACTGACATGGAATGTCAGTTTAAAAGTAAACATCAGTATATTAGGCATAGATAAAGCAATCTTTCATAATGGAATGCGCATTGTGGGATGCATGGACGCATATTCTGCTTATTAGGGGCGACTTACACGAACCCTAAAGAGAGAGTTCGCTCCATCAGTATATATAGGGCTAGTTCGTCACCCTCTTAGTACGGCTGGGTTCGCTCTCAAAAACCTCGTTGAATAGCTTCTCAAATCATATTATGAATTATGTTGTTTAGAAATAAGCAAATTTTTGACGACTGAATGTAATTAGTAGACTGTAGTGCTGCATAAAATTATTTGAATGGAAAAAGTCGAATGTGCTTGAGGCGAATACGGTGGTTTTTAACTCAGCCTTATTAAAATAGAAGGGCCAAGCTTTCCTCTCTGAAGTATACGAGATCTCGCCAAACAGCATGCACTTCATGTAAGGCCTATACGTTATAAACAGACTCTATATTGACAAACTCCGAATTTCAGGAGTGAAATTTGAAATTACGAACAAACAGAATGCAGAAATTTAATTTCAACACACAATGATGACATAATAAAGGTTTTCCTGTGAAGCGCATCAAGATTTCACGACGGCCATTATTTTGACAGTTTGTTGATTTGTTTGATCGTAAATGATCTTACGCTAATGCACCTTTGTTAAACCACATTAAACACTCGACTGAACTTTACGCAACCATCTATCGCTTTTGTTCTAGTAAACAAATTACAATTTACAGATTACAAGTTTGGCGCCAAAGATATATAATACAAATCAACAATTACAAGGATTAAACATACGTATATAGCTACCTAAAAGTACAACGAATAAGGGCTGCTTTAATTTCACTGTCGCGTTTTTTTTAACCCGCGGAAAATGCTTTCAAATTGTTATTATTTCACAAATGGGTCAACAAATTCATACTAAAATATGCGGAAAACCAAGTTCTTTCGATTTATTTACCTCGCTTTTCCAAATATGAGGTAATAATTATTATATAAGCATTTAGACTTTTACCTGCGTGTGCGTGCGTAAAAAACGCGACTGTGGATAGCAGCCCTATGAATTACTCACCAAACGTCGAGGTCAATAGCTAGTCTTGTATAACTACGCTCTGCTCAATTCTGAAGTTTTTGTAATTTAGCGGTTAGCGTTTCACCAAATTCATGCCAAAATGAGCAGCAATAATGGGACATGTCGCAGCTCTCGGAAGCATTCATCCAATTGGATAATGCTTTTCTATGCTTTCGAAAGAACGAAGCTATGCTATTGGTTGAAACAGAAATGTATTGTAAAGTTCAGCCAATGAAAACCAATCTTGCGAGAAGCTGCGATACTACCCGCAATAATCAAAGAGAGGTTGGATTAGTGCATTACCAATTATAGTCGTCAAAGACGAGGTGATTACTAGCCTGCACTCACCAAGCTCAAGGCGAGGTGAATATAGGCTGTTAATCACTGAGCATGGGGCGACTAACGCCTGTATTCTAAAAGCTCACTCACACTCAAACTCGTTGAGTGGGAGATCCTAATCTTCTCATCACGTTTCAATGGCGGTATTTCCAGCCGAAAAGGGGCTTGATTTTCAGTGATTTACCTTATATCTTTCCATCTATTGAAAGAAAACTTTCTCATTTGCCAGAATTAACAAAATTCATATGCCACACTCGATGAGTGTGAGTGAGCTTTTTGAATACAGGCGTAATTGTTTAGTATAAATTTCAAGGTGTTTACTATTAATAATCAACACAATTTCATAAAAAATTTTAATTATTTTAAATTTTTTATTTAAAAAAACGCAACAAAAAGCTATAGTCACCGACCATGCAGTTACTATCACTTCCCAGACAGTGATTTTTGACTAATCAGAATGCAGGATGATTAATAGTCACTTTTAAACTTGCACTGAAAGATATTGTACTTTACAAATATTGCCATTGCCTGATAATAGTATTTAGTATAATCGTAAACGTACTACAAACTATCATTTATCGCTGGCTCTGATTGGTTGCGCTACTATTAAGCTTTCAATGATAACTCGGCTTCAGCTTGTCGAAGATCACCTTATGGAAAACTTGGTCACGTTGTCTAATTTTTTTTATCGAGGATTATAACATGCTCATCTTTTGGTAAGAAAAGGATAGCTGGAGTTTTGGAATCTAGTTTAATGTATTTTATTCTTAACCTTCGACGGTGAAAAAATATCGCGACACAGACAACGATAACGATAATGATTGCTGGTATTGTCATCAATAAAGGCCATTTGGGTTTATTTGATTTCTCGCCTGATTTTGATTTTTCTGAAAACGAAAATAGAATATTTTGGTATTGGTAATTGATTGGTCATGGTTATCATTATATATACTGGTTTTTTAAACAGCTGAATCATTCAAATTAAAATGGCTGTAACCTATTGTAGTAATAAAACAGAAAATAAAACAGCTAAATTCTAACTAAACATTAAATTTACTGGTTGGTAAATTTCTGAATGAATTGGTTTGGAATATTAAAACCATTTCCGTCTATAACAATGTTTTCATGGCGTATTGATTCAGTAAATTACTAATTGCATGTCCATACTTTGTTCCCTCCTTTGTTTTCACCCAGAATTTTTTACAAGTGCTATGTTTTTGCAGTCTCATACAGCACCTTTATTATACAAACTGCAACCCTTAATAATTCCCAGTGGCCTACGATCCTTTGTTATTTAATAGAAGCAAACATATAAATATTGAGTGGGTTGCAGTTTTTTTTATACACCCTGTATATTATATTGCTTCATGAACGAAACTATACTAAGAATCTACAATAATAAAAGCTTGTCATGAACGTCGCATTTCTATTCTATTGTAACAATTTACCTGTTCTGAAATTAACTGAATCAGTTGGACTTGCTGTGGTAGTTACTGCAATTAAAAATGAAATATTCAGTCTAAAACTAAAGCTGCTAACTTCCTAGTTCAACATTAATAACATCACAAAATATGTGGTGCTGAGCAGATGGTGATTAGTCTCCATAATTTTTTAAAGAGATTTCCAAAGAAGTAGTTTATACCAGGGAATCCCTTATCTTAACTCTCTGTTTGATACCTCTGTTTGCAAAATCTACAATCATGGTAGCAGCTACAATTTTTTAAAACAAATACGAAAATTCTTACCATTTGCTGTACATTCAACTCCGACGTCATTCTCATGCGAGCAATGATTATCCCCCCAACTACTAAGATAACAATTTTCTATTTTTTCTTCATTCCCTGTACAAAAGACGGACTCCAACCATATCCTCTCAGAACCTAGTGGAACCTCGTCTCTTCGTAGAGCCCTAACAGCATCATAATACCCAAGCTGACGACATATAACCCTGTAGCTAGCATCTACTGCATGTGTCTTCTTGTGCCATCTGTTTTGTCGCATCGATCGCCTGTACTCACTTTCACAGATTGTTCCCCACTGTCCATAGTAGAAGACCTCAACACGGCCAATGCCATGTGCACTCAATGGTCCTTGTAACCTCAGTCGCAAAGGTATAGAGGTGAAATCTTTAAAAAATAGTAATGAATGGTAGTCGTATAACAGGTAGCCAGCTAACAGGCGGGCACGCCGTAGTATGTATAATGTATTACATGTATTGTTTCATAAGGTTGGAAACTCTCGCTCAAATTTACGAACTGTATTCAAAAACTTAGTAGTGAAAAGATTTGTACTTAAATAGCATACACAAAAAAACTAAATCTATGTGGGAACTGATTTCCCTAAAACATTTGCAAAACATTTTTCGTTTTGAAAGCCATTGCAAATATTAGAAATTTTCGAAAATGCAAACAATTTTTCATTGGATTATGTGAAAAGCCGTCAGGAACTCAGGATCCCATTGCCATGTCTACGTTACAAGAAATACACGATCTGATTGGGTGGTTGACGTAAACAAAATTCAAAACCGGGCCAATCAGATCGCGTATTTAGTGTGACGTATAGCAGGGTAGTGGGAATCATGACGACTTTTCAAAAAAATTTAACAAAAAATGTTTGTATTTTCGCAAACTTCTCATAATTGCAACGACTTTTAGAACAGAAAAAAATGGGAAATGTTTTAGGGAAGTCAGTTTTCATGTGTAAGTTTGTGTACTATTTACTTCGTAAATTTGAAAATTTGAGTGAGAGTTGCCAACCTCATGAAACAATGCAGAGATTTAGCATGAGGACGTGGACGTCAAAGACGACGTCAAAATGGCGAGAAACTGGCGTCGCATGTCCACATTTGGGCGCATCACGCCATTTATTCACCATTTTTACGTCGCCTTTGACGTTCACGTCCATGTGTTAAATCACCCTAATATAAATACCACGGCGTGCGCGCCTGTAAGCTGACTACCTGTGATCGTATACAGTAAAGCTCGTTTTCCTCTGGAAGAATTTACTCGCGCGACGCGAAGCGATATCTGAAATCCTGTGATCTGATTGGTTTGCAAAAAATTCGCCGCGAAAAAGTAGAAACGCTTCCCACTTTTCATTTGTTTGCGCAAATAAATTTGCCTAGTGGAAAATGGGCTTAATGTGGAAAGTTTTGCGCGTGCGTCCAAAACGTGTGAAAATCTTTTTGGAAAAAAGTCAAAGGTCTGAGTTCACAGTCACTGTTTTTCTTTTGAATTGGGAACGCTTGCGAATAAATTTATTTATGGCTTTTCAAAATTGGTTGACGAGCGGTCTGGACCAGTATCCTGGATGCCTCATGCAGTTCAGCCATATAATCGAACGTTCATTGAGGGCAACCATCATTTCATTATATATATTGTTATGCGTGGCTGAACTCTGTTGAGAGTGATAATGTTTAAGAAATTCGCCAGGCATAGGTAGAAAATATAAAGTTTAATATGGCTCCCCTCAATTGACGTTCGATTGACCCCAATGGTTGTACAATTTAAAAAATTCGTATACTTTGTGAGCAAATGCCCAAACTTCCAGGCTTTGATTTCAAATTGGGTATCAAACATCTCATTTAAAAAACAATTTTTGTTTTATATACTTTCTCAAACATTTAACAATTGTTTTCTTTTTGACACTACTTTTAAGGTCACATTGCTACCCCAGTGATCCCCGAACCAAATAACGACAGATCTGATTTGATTGTTTTTGAGAACAATAATAAAAAACCACCCATTTTATAGGCTATCTAGCAAAGCAATTTAAAAATTTGTCTGAGTTTAAGGAGATAAAGTGGAAGATTATTACAAATCATTGCTAACCTAAATGCGATATTCAAATACTTTTTAAACATTTCGATAATAATTACACACGACTTTCTGGATTTAATTGCTAGTTGCATTGCATTGTATCATGACTTACCTGTCGCGGAACATTGCACACCGGCAAATCCGTCTTCGAGATAAGAAGCGTCCGAATGAAGTTCCCAACTAAGGTAAGAACAGTTTGCAATGTTTTGTTCATCCCCAGTGCATTCGACATATCGTAACCACGTCCGTCCAGAGCTATAAGGAACCAGATTCGATTTAAGAGTCTTCGCATTATCTGGGTTATAGCCAAGTTGACGACATGCAACCTTAGCATCTCTTTTATTCCAAAAATAACCAGATATTTTCCCCCAATATCCATGATAGAGTACTTCAACACGACCAGTACCATTTGCACTCAATGGCCCTTGTAATCTTAGTCTCACAGATATATTGGTAAAATCTTGAAAGAATAATGGAGTGTTTGAGTTCAAACCGGGGTATCGTAAATTTGATTAATTGTTTTTTTATAATTTTTTAACAATCACTATTAACTTGAACGACTGTGTTTTAAAAGATTTACAACGAAATGAAGGCGAGTGGTTGTAGGATCGTGTCAATCACGAACGACCTATTCTAACAATCTATCTTATAAGTTTATCGGTGTAGTTTGCAGTAAGCATTTAAATAGACCTGGAGCCGGTTGCATCAAGCTTGTTTAGCTTAAACGGTGGATAAGTCGAAATTAAATGCCACGCTTACATCTCTCTGGAATGAGTCAACTTGAATATTATGCACTAAATATGTAGTTGTAGACAGTATTTTTGTATTAAGGTGAAAAACATTTAGTTCGCTTGTTGAATAAAACGATTGACTTGCTTTCTATTTTGAACTTAACAACCGTTTAAGCTAAACGGGCTTGATACAACCGGCCCCAGGAATCTAAACGCACCTTTTCACATTAAAGCCGGTTTTCACATTCACTTTCCAACCTCAGTTAACAACTGGCATATGGTTGGTAGAATTATTAATGCAAACTTCCAATGAACCCTTTAAGGAACTTATACACGGACTGATGGGTACACTAGCGGTGGGAATGCATGGGCCACTAGCCTCCCCCACTTTTAGACTATGCAGCTGCAGTAATAATTCATTCTGTCCTTGAAATTCGTACCATTTTCCCCGAATACTTCGACCGCCTCCCCTGGCCCTGCCCCTTTTTCCCCCTATTTTTTATGTCCGTACGCCTTTGATGAGATGATTGATCATAGTTTTGATGATTCATGAAAGGTTTATTTCTTTAACCACGGTTAATTAATAGAATATTTATGCAAGGTTTATGCAGGTTTATGCAAAAAATAGTGCCTTTCTTGTCACGTGTCTATTGTATTTTAGCCTAAAATACCAATGGCATTCATCTTGCTAAGCTCATCAACCTTGACTTGAAAAATATGTTAATTATAAGATTGCTATTGGTTTATCTGTGCAAAATGCAACAGACACGTGATGAGAAAGGAACAATTTTTTGCATAAATCTACCTCAACATAGTTAATAAGCTGTACTGTAGTTTCATGTGGTCTCCAAACCATTTATATTCTATTAACTTTATACCTGTTGTACTGCATTCAACGCCAGCATGTTGAGGATAAGAGCGACACCCCCAACCCCAAGGCTTATGAGTACAGCTTGTGATATTTTCTTCTTCCCCAGTGCAGGCTACTTTGGACAACCATGTCATTCGAGAACTGCGAGGTACCTCGTTAGCTTCAAGAACTCTGGCAACATCTTGATAACCAAGTTGACGACATACAACTCTAGCGATTTTCATATCCCACCCATCGCCACAGATTGTTCCCCAATATCCATGATATAGTACTTCAACACGACCAGAACCATTCACGCTTAATGGTCCTTGTAATCTCAGTCTTACGGGAGTAGTTGAAAAATCTTGAAAAATATTGTTCAAGAGCATGTGATCAATATACTGGGAAAAATCGAAGTTGAGTTTTGTAAGATGTCTAATATCTATACACACCCAATTGATGAATTGATCATTTTTAAATTTGTACCTGTTGTACTGCATTCTACGCCAGCGTCATCACCATGAGAGCAAAATGGATACTCCCCCCCAAGAGTGTGATGACAACTTGTGATATTTCGTTCCTCCCCGGTACAATCGAGGTGGTTTAACCATATATCCCCTGAACCAGAATAGAACTCGTACCTTCGAAGGGTTCTAACAACATCTTGATACCCAAGTTGGCGACATACAACTCTGGCATTTTTCATATTCCACGAACTGTCACAGATTGTTCCCCAATAACCATGATACAATATTTCAACACGGCCTCTACCATTTGCGCTCGACGGTCCTTGCAACCGTAGTCTCACAGGCGTAGCTGTAAAATCTTAACAGTGTACGCGATTTGTTTGATCAATGTTGAAAAATCCCCTAGTTATTATCTTACAACATTTGATTATACCTCCGATGATTGATGAGGTTAATTATGCGGTAAATTCGTACCTTGTGTACTGCATTCTACGCCAACGTCCTCGGAATGAGAGCAAAAATCAACACCCCAACCCCTATGAGTACAACTTGTGATATTTCGTTCTTTTCCAGTACATTCGATGTCAGATAACCATATCTGCCCTGAAGCAGAGGGAACCTGGGTACCACGAAGGGCCCTAAGGACATCTTGGTAACCAAGCTGACGACACGCAACCCTGGCATCTTTTATACTCCATACATAATCACAGATTGTACCCCAATATCCATGATAGAATACTTCAATTCGACCAGTGCCGTTTTCGCTGAATGGTCCTTGTAATCTGAGTGGCACATCCGCATGTGAAAAGTCTAAAAAATATGTGTATGCCATCAATCAACGAAAGTAGTGAAAAAAAAATTAAAATTCAACGCTTCCCTAAACACAGCTGTAATATTTTTATAGAATCTAGAATCGTGGGACTGTTATTGCCTAGATTTGATAATTGTATATACCTAGATCATAGTTGAGGTACTCCAAGTTCAGTACGTCAAGGAAGTACATTTATCATTTATGGACCAGGATTTAGGGGGATTTGGCGAAATATTTCCTGAAGTACCCAGCACCGAATTGACCGTTAACCTGTACCTGTTGTTGAACATTCAACACCAGCGTCTTCCCTATGTTCACAAGAATGAAAACCCCAACTTCTGTGAGAGCACCTCGTTATATTCTGTTCTTCCCCAGTACAATCCATTTCAGACAACCATATTTTCCCAGAACCAGAAGGAACCTGGCCATCACGAAGGGCTCTAACAACGTCTTTATAGCCAAGTTGACGACATGCAACCCTAGCATCTTTCATATCCCATTTATCATCACAGATTGTTCCCCAACGTCCATTGTAGAAAACTTCAACACGGCCAGTACCATTTAAACTTGACGGTCCTTGCAACCTTAGGGGCACAGCTGAAATATCATAAGAGAATAAATGAGTGCAAGAGATCATTGATGATGATGGTCAAAGTGTACGAGTTAGTGCTAAAACAAACCCGCATGTAATGTTATTTCAGAGCGATACTCTTTATCGAATCCGGGAGTGATACTCTTTGGGTTTTTGTAGAAAACACTAGAAAAACATGCATGTATAACAATTAAGAGCCGGAACCCCTAGCTATTTCAAGCCTAGATTTTTTAAACATGCCAGAAAGTCATTTCGATTAAATTTACCAGGCGCATACAATAGCTACAACACCGACTGTCGGTGACATAAATTATGAGAACTAGGCATAAACAAAGTATTGAGTTTATCAGGGGCGCTAGCGGAAGCAGTTTGGGGGGGGCAAGAGTAGAATTTGAAGATATATAAGGTTAAATCGTTCACGTGAGATGTCAATAGCTAAAAATTATAAATTAAACATAAGTGCAAGATGGCGAAAGGTCACTATGAAACGAGCTCGATCGAATCCGAAATAAACTCCTTAACATAACTCCGAACATATTAAACTCAATCATGTGTGTTATGATGGAAAGCGGATCATGTGGTGCCATAGTTATGAAACCCTGCAAGATTTCGTTTAATTTGCCTTAGGTCAACAAGGCAAATGGTGGCTTTCTGGGGGAAATTCGAAGAGGTTTGATGCACTTGACTTTAGTATGACATGGCACCCAGGCAAGCTAAATACGTTGACATTTAAAGGTGTATAAGTTGGTGGTTAAATTAAAGAAATTAAGCCTCATAGACCTATGTTAAGCTCCAACGTGTGATAACGAACACACTGCCAATACTGCAAACGGGTGCAATGAGTGTCATGAAAATAATGAAAATATGATGCTCGAGTTTGAACTGTTGAAGTCAGAGTAAAACGGACGCAATGTAAAGCCTTATCGACTCCCAGGGTTCTTCCCTGATTGAACTGAACAATAATATTGGACGAATTTATGTTGAGCTTGATGAAGAAGGGCTTAGAAATAGGGCTTTGGAGATCGAAGTTGGTTGTCTGAAAGACGAAATCATCATAATTAATTCATATAGAAATGGCTCAGTGAGCCCTAGGTAACCCAAAGGTATTTGTGTTTTAATCTAAAGCGTCCATCCAGTTTAATATCGCGGTCTGTGACGTAAACACCAATTGCTATATTTGTATTATAATAAGATAAGGTTGGGAACTAAATATAAATTAAAGACGTACAGCTTCAAAACTATCGACAAAAAACATTGAAAATATGAAACATAACTCACAAAAAACATAATAACAATAAAATTTGATGTTTTTAATTGCTCCCCAGTACATTTTCTTGTTGAAAACAACTATAGAAATACGAAAAATTTAGCGATACTTTTCGTGTTGCCATGAATTTTTTCGACATTCATAGCAACACGAAAAGTATCGCCAAATTTTTGTATTTCTAGAGTTGTTTTCAACAAGAAAATGTACTGGGGAGCAATTAAAAACATCAAATTTTATTGTTATGATGTTTTTTGTGAGTTATGTTTCATATTTTCAATCTTTTTGTCGATAATTTTGAGGGTGTACGTCCTTAATTTATATTTAGTTGCCAACCTTATCTTATTATAATACAAATATAGCAATTGGTGTTTACGTCACAGACCGCGATATTAAACTGGTTGGACGCTTTAGATTAAAACACAAATACCTTTGGGCTACCTAGGAGTGAACCTGATAAACAATGTCTCTTTGAATGAAGTTAAATGACGTAGATAGGTTCCAAGATGCCTGTCAAAATACAGAATTAGACACTAATCAATTACCCACTGATAACAGTGTTACTTTGGTGAATGAAGCAATCACTGACCAGAACTGTTCAGAACTTAACTGATGGCATTACAGAAATGCACAATGTTGCCAGACCAGACAAGAAGTTCTCGGGGCAGAAGAGAGTTCGAGGTATAGAAATGAAGTTAGTAGAGCAGGCCCTGGACCCAATCAATCAGTGTCTTGGCTCAAATACGAATGTATCAACGTCTTGTGAAAATCGATTAAACAAGCAAATACAAGAGTATCGGAGAAAACAATATCAGCCGTTTCTGCGAGAACAAAAAAATAACAAGAGTACAGTGAAAATCTACACGTAGTATCTTATACAGAGCGCCAATGTCCTGAGTCAGTCAATCAGGTTCGACTCCCAAATAATGAGCACCTTAAATCAAAATGTATCACCGCCTTACGAATATACTGAGTAAACAAGCAAATACAAGAATATCGGCGTAAACATCAACTTACAGAAGTTTTTGCAAAATTACAAGAAACACCAAGAGCGCGATAAGAATGTGCACGCGAGATCTCGTACAGAGCACAATTGTTCTAAATTACTTCGCCAATATTATCCTTTGGCGAATAGTTTACGAAAGAATAGGGATCAAAATTTTCTAATACGAAAGTCCAAAAAAAATCATCGGTTATAGATTCAACATTCGGTGAATAATGCTTTAAAATACACTAGAATAAGGAGCATGATGTAGCTATACCTGCTTTAAAACATTCAACTCCGACGTCGTTATAGTGATAGCAAGAACCAGTAACTCCCCAGCCATTGTGAGAACAACTTGTTATTGTTTCTTCTTCACCAGTACAATCAACGTTTTTTAACCATATTTTTCCAGAACCAGAAGGAAACTGGCTTGAATAAAATACCATATCCGAATCTATATATCCAAGTTGACGACATACAACCCCAGCATCTCTTATGTCCCATCCATCATTACAAATTGTTCCCCATGTTCTGTTGTAGAATATCTCAACACGACCTGTGCCATTTGCACTGAGTGGCCCTTGTAATCTGATAGGCGCAGTTATAGCTGTAATCGAACAAGGATACTTACAATAAACGATAAAATATGAAGTCAAATAGTCAAATGCATGAGGGACATATTTTATGTTCACATGCAGACAGGAAAATTAAACAATTCATTTGAAAAGAAATAACGTAAAAACGAATATATGATTATGATCCCCGTTATGAAGCTGGCGAAGCAATTTGGTGTTAGGCCAGTTTCAGTCAAACGTGCCGAAAGCTTGTTGCACGAGGTTTGAACTTGAAACAGGCCTTATTTGATACGACCACGCTGGTCCATTGATCATTTCGACCAATCAGTTTTTACAGTGTATATTTTAACTATTTTATAGGCAAAACTCCTTGAATAAAGTATTTAACACAACTGTTGCCCCCGCTTTACAAAAATATGAATATAGTATTGGAATACAATAAAAAGTAATTTCAGGCTTAGAAATTCTCACACTGATTTGGCTGTTCCAAATTAACACCAAAGTTTCAAGTATTGCGCTGTTTGCCTGTAGAATATCTCAATCATGAATAATCTCGAAGCCTGCAAGCACGCTGACTGATCAATTTTCTCCACCAAAAGTTTTTCATAAAACAAAATATTCATTTTAGTAATAGTTTGAATTTTTTATTCACACATTTCTGGACGTTTCTGTGGCTTTTAGTCAAATTTTAGATATTGTATGGATGCTGCATGTTGATGTCATTCCCGCGGAAATCAAATTTTGTACCTGTCGCACTCAATGAGTGCGTCATAGAAATTTTAACTTGTTATTACTGATTAATGAGAAAGTTCTGTATTAATTAGTGGAAAGATCCAAGGTAAAACACTGAAAATTAAGTTCTTATTTGTGAGAAGATTGAGATCTCCCACTCAATGAGGTTCAGTGAGCTTTTAGAATGCAGGCGTAAGTGAATAAACAATATTATAAAAAAATATTTACCTTCACAATGGTGTGATACAAAATCTAAACCAAAAATTACGCCAGTTATGATGGCGAGAATCATCATTTTGTGAACCAGCGAAGCCAAAGAACACGTCACTTGAATGAAATAAGAATTTTAAATTGTACATGAAATCAAGGGTAAACTATCTATTGTGTTAAGCAAACCTGCCTTCATGAGTAGTAGGTATTTGTATTATATGAATTATAATAATTATATGCATGATCACATATGGTAATTATTATAGATCTGTATTTAAGTAGGGGTGTGGATAATGTGAATAGATTCCTTCGACAAGTAAGCAATACGAGTGTGCTTGGTTTATCACTATATAAACGTTCACTACAGTATTCTTTTAATTTAGAATTTGCATGTAGACCAAACTATAATCGTGAAAGTATGAAATATAGCTAAAATAAAGCATGCCATAAAAGCTGCGTTTCATTTACAAACGTTGTTACGCGTGAGGGTGCATGGTTCATATCGAAAAGTTTAAATCGTTATGAATTTTACATATTGAATGGCAATGAATAGATTTAATGACAGATGTATCTAGACATGTACTTCTGTTTCTTTCGAAATCATAACAATGATTTGACAATGATCTTATAATGAGATCCTTTATATGTTTTGTCAGTGAGGGATATATAGAGCTAGTACTATATAAATATATGGTGTATAATTAAGCGTTGGATTTGCATGCATTGGAAAGCAAACAAGCATACGAAGTTGAGCATCGATAGGGACTTTCTCAGCTTACTATTATTTTTGTCGCTTGATAAAATTTGAAAGCTTTCAAAACGTTATTAAAAGATCATTATATATGACACGAGGCATTAATATGATGTACCAATAATCAAAATCAGTAATTCAAATCGGTAATTCAAATAAGCCAACAGAAGCGACAGCCGCTTTGTCACTTATTTCTGGTAATGTATACGTAGGTCTACAGTAATTATATTGAGTCCTAAAGCTCATATGTGAAGGCGCCCTATAGAATGCGCATACCAATGTAGTGAACCAATTCTGATTCTAGATTTCTAAAGGGGCCAAAACCGCGATCACGCAAGATAAGATGCATGCATGGGGGTTTAAAAGAGTTCATAACAAAACGTCGCCACAAGGTTACAGGATAATCACTCTTTTTATCATTAACCGAAAAATAGAAAGGTGGAGCCTCAACTATATAATTTTAGCAGAAACGTGCTTACCGTATGTTCTATACTGCTGATCCACGGTTCCCTGATCTGTTTGCAATATTATGACCTTTCCGTCTGGACCGACTCGCTGTATCGTTAAATAGAAGCCTCTATAATAAACGTTAAAGTAATACAAACGGTGCATACGAAATATGCCATCCGTATTCTAGATCTCGAATGCGCTTTAGACATCGATAGCGCTGAATTACATCAGATCAAAATAGAGGCTAAAACTTATTAATATTATACGAATTACTTCCTGGATACAAGGAATGTATAAAAAGTGCTCTATAACAACAGCATAGGGAAGGTAACACTGAAACTATAAACAAAGCGGAAATTTTGTGCTAATTACAAAATTAACATGATAGATCTTTTCTCGAAAATTGGTTACCAATAACTAACATTAACTCAATTTAAATGAACTCTGCGGACAAAGGCGTTTAATTCATACTTGCTCTAGAGATAAATGAGAGATCTGCTCTTGAATGAACCTGAAATAGTACAAGGCGGAAATCCGATCCACTTTCTCACTTTTTTTAACTCTCATGGAATGTCCGTTAAAAAGCAAATATTATATTAGCGATATAAAGGCCATGTTTCATACTCTTAGCTATATTTTGCATGTCAAGGGCGACTCACGTGAGCCCTAAGAAGACAGTGCATAGGCTCTATCAGTATAGGACTGGTTCATCAGCCCTCTTAGTTCGGCTGTTTTGCTCTCAAAAACCTCATTGATTAATGACTTTCCGAATCATACTATGCATTACGATGTCCAAATTTATAGTTCAGAAATGGCCAAATTTTTGTATGCTAACAAACAGACGACTGAATGTAATTTTTATATTGTTGTGCTGAGTATTTGAATCGAAAAAAGCGTCGTAAAGTCAAATGAGCGTGAGGCGAATATGGTAGTTTTTAACTCAGATTTACTAAAATAAAAGGGCCAAGCTATCCTCGCTGCGTTTAAATGCAGTATTTTCAGCCCTTCTAGACGAAATCTCGAGTAGTGAATAGCGAGATGCCGCCTGATAGGATTGGCCAGCCTTTCATAATTATAGAAATTTTGTCATGAAACTTGACAAACAATTCCGAATTTCAGGAATGGAGTTAATAAACCGGATGCAGAAAGGTAATTTTAACTGTAAATCATACCCTAATTAAGGTTTACCTGTGGAACGCATCACGATTTTATGACGGTGATTATTTTACCAGTATGTTGATTTGTTTCATCGTGAAGGAGCTTACACTGATGTAGCTATGCACCTTTCTCAAACACTCGACTGAAATTTACGCCAGCTTCTAGTGCGGTTTCATTCTAGGGAACAAATTACAAGTTACAGATATAGTAACAAATTTGGCGCCAAAGACAATACAAATGGAAAATTACAAATATTAAACATACGTACGTAAAAGTACAACGAAGATGGGCTGCTTTCCACTGTCGACAACAAATCGGTCAACAAATGCATACTAAAATATGCGGGAAACCAAGTTCTTTGGATTTATTCACCTCGCTTTTTCAAATATAACATGCATATATAAGCATCTAGACAAAAAAAACGCCACATTGGAAAGTAGCCCTATAAATATTACTCACCAAACGTCGATGTCAACGATAAACTTAGACGTATAGTAAACATTACTGTTAGTCTGTCTGTAATACCCACAATACATGCCTTCGAGAGGCCAAAGTTCATGTGTTCCGGTCCGAATAGTGCTGACCTGTATCATAGGGGCATGTCATAAATTATGACTCATACTTGACATGGATGGTTGAATAACTTGTAAAATGGCTGTAAAGTCTGTAATCTAAGAGCTAAACGCTAGCTTAAACTCGAGTAAACTTGAAATAGACCTTATGCATAATGACGTATCAGGCCGTGACGCCTGCAGGGAATTCTGGTTTTAGTAGTCACTGCGAAAAATTCAAACTTCAAAATTTCCTGCCGTGACTACTAAGACCTTTGCAGGTGTCACGACGGCTTGTTACGTCTTATGCATAAGGTCTATTGATCACACATTTTAAGAACTAATATACTAATTGTTAATAAAAGTCATTTTCAAAAGAAAACCTATAAAAATTATTTAACAAAATTTACAATGCTATAATATCAATGATATATATTTATTAAAATGCATCTTACATATTCATAATTTCATGCACTGACAACTATTTACGATGATGTTTGCAATTGATCTTATACAAACATTTGCACAGCCTGTTCTCTAAACTAGTTTAATAATGCTCCTTTACTCTCCTGCAATCACAGTCAGACCATTGATCTTATAATGGCCTAGAGACTTCTCAACAGAATACTCTCAGACGATTCATAGACCTGTAATTGTCGACACAGACGACACTTGCCGTAACATTCTGGTTGATCAAAGCAGCTCCCTGCACATAACCGCCACATGGTTATGTTAGCTTTCTCCGGAATGGTGCAGGTCAGGTGAATGTCCAACTTCGATTGATCGACCATTGAAGGAGGAGAGCACCAAAAAGAACAATTGGCATTAGGATGATTGACCAATCACCGAGAACATGAATAAGTTCAGATGTATAACTTCAGAGCATTCGCTTAGTTCTTCAACACTGCTCGAAAATATGTTCTTCCTACTGGCCACCAATGAGATGTCTTATTTGATGGCAGAATGGTATGACAGGATATTCAGCTTGGCGTTCGTGGCTCCGGGTTCGCGAATTGGTTTCATACAAACCGATGTGGCCGCTTCGCTTTTAATGGAAATCAAAAAATTTAAAAAGGCTATTTTTTGTTATATTGTTAAGAACATGGCCGAAAATGAGAGTTTTATTTCATTTAGTTTGCTCGCAATAGATCCGTAAAGTTGGCTAATTTTTGCACAAAGTTGACTGGTCAGCGGCATGGGCGACAGCAAGGCTTTATAAAAGTTCGATTTACTAGCTTAGTTTTTGTAAAAACCAAAAGATGGCGATTCGAGAGAAAGCTTATGAGAATATCTGACTTCTAACTTTCTTCTAGCTTGCGAAATAACGACAGGAAACTTATTTATTAAAGTCTAGCCGTCTGATTTCATGCACGTACCTGTGACATAAATGTAATCCCTTCGCGAAGGCAACTAACCCGGTTTCTGCAAATTTTTGTTTTTCCACATAGGTTTTTCCACATATGATCAATGTCAATGTAAATGTCATATGATCAATATAACAATTGATCATATGACATTTACATTGACATTGATCATATGACATTTACAGTTCAATAAACCTATGTGGAAAAACGCAGTAACCGGGCTAGTTGCCTTCGCGAAGGGATCCGGATTAAATTTATGTCACGGGTGCGTGCATGAAATCAGACGGCTAGACTTTAGAAGGTTAGAAGTATAAGGATATTCTCATAAGCTTTCTCTCGAATGGCCATCTTTGAGTTTTTACAAAAACTCGTCGTAAAGCTACTAAATCGAACTTTTATAAAGCTGCCGCTGACCAGTCAACTTTGCGCCACCTTTAAAAAAAGCCAACTTTACGGAGCTACTAAATAAGACTCTCATTTTCGGCCATGTTCTTAAGAATATATATAACATTACAAAGAAAAATTAAGGCCTTTTTAAATTTTTCGATTTGCAAAGCAAAGCGGCCACATCGGCTTGTATGAAAACTAACCACTCCAACTCCGTTTTCGCGAACCTGGAGCCGTAAGCCTGGAGCTGAATATCCTGTCATCAGAATGGTAACTACTGGTCGCAATGGCTGGCCGGCTCATCGACAGTGATCGGCCATTCCTGGTAATTTTCTTCCATAGACGTCTCCAACAATTCCTGACTGTTTATCTGGGATTGGTTCGATGACTGGCCAACAGATGACTGGCCACTAATTGTTGGCGATTTGCTTCCAGCTGTTTGGTGAAGAGCCTGGAATGACGTTTGTTTGGCCATGGCCACGGCAGAGACGTCGTACGAACCACGACGTCTGTGGAAAATACGACGGAAAAAGGATGACAGTCGTTCAGTAAATGAACGCTTTACTCGCAACCTTAAAGAGAAAAAAACATAATTTCTATAATTGTTGCTGTAGACCCCTAATCCTGATGATTTGAAGAATATTGTCATGCTAATAGACACAGCAAAACAACTTTCACAACAACACAGCCTTGTTTCAAAGCGTAAACGATTAGACAGAATTTATACGGAATTCAATATCTCATAAAGCGTAAACGATTAGACAGAAATAACGTTGCAAAGACTTCGCAACCAGCAAAGGTGGATAGTAACAAACATCTAATGATCTAACAACTCAGTATTCAACATCAGTACATCAGTAAAGCAGGTTTACATCGTCGCTGCGACCACTGACCAGGAACCTAGGCATATTGTTGCACTATTTCGGGATCACACCGTCTCCGAAATACATATTGATATTAGTTGAAGGCGAAGTTACTCACCAGGAGTGCTTTGCAACTTTTTTTATACTTGGTCGGGCCGCTGGGTCCATGCTAAATTTTTCTCATTAGGTCTTGCAAATCTACAGATAAAAAATTCGAATAGAAAATCCTGGATGGCCTTGTCGTATATATGAGAAAAACGAAAAAACAACAAACAAGATTTAAATATTCTTAGCAACAACGGTTGGTGTGATTGATATGCATTCCAACTTCAAAAGGGAATTCGGAAATATATGTATGAATGCTGATCTCTATATTTTCCGGCTTTCTCTAACCTGTTATAATTTCATGAATTTAACTCACCTTCAGATAAATCATCCAGTTTTGGCGGTCCTGATATAACATCTGCAAATGTTGTGTAATCCGTAAAAGCTGGTTCGCCGTGCAACATTTCATATATCATGACTCCAATAGACCGCACAGCTTCCTTGCAAGGATCATACAATTCATGCAGAATGTATTCTGGAGGCATATTGTATGGAGTGCCTGAGGGAATAAAACATGTACAATGCAATTAACCAGTCTTTTTGAATGGAATAAAACTACTAAGCAATGACCGGAAAAGTTGAAATTTAAGAAAATGAGAAATATTACTGGGGTTGATAGTTTTACAACAGATTAAACCTGACTAAAATTAAAGCCAGTATTTTGAAACCTGAAAAAGTGAATTCTCACAGGTTCGATCAAGGATTTTTAACAATGTAGCTGATGAATTGCTACCTTGGAAGAGAAATTGGAAAGACAAATTTGTTTTATGATAACAAAATCTCACGCTAAAGGTGCATGGGAACGGAATTTGGTGATTAAAACTCAGACAACAGAGATAACAACCTCGTACCCAGGGTCTTTTTACCTCCGCTCCAAGGCCCACGCTGGTACGAGGTTGCAGAGGTAAATTATTCATGACATTCCAGGAAAGTTTACTCACCACAGAAAGCGTCAACTAGATTGCCAGGTTTATTATACCCTGCAAATCCAAAATCAAGCAACTTGATTTCGCCAGTATCAAAGTCATAAAGGATGTTCTCCAATTTCAGATCACGATGAACGATGTTCTTCTTGGACATCGCCAATACAACGTTGACCAACTTCTTCATGCATTGTTGAGTTTCATCCTCGGTGAAGAAACCTCCTACGTCCCACATGAGGCTTCGGAGATCTTTGCAATGAGTCGGTCTTTCGCAAATGATCACAAATTCCTCAGATGATAAAGACTGATAATGATAGAACTTGATGACATTTGGATAATCTTTCATCTTCTTCAGGAAATACACTTCACTTGGTACATCACCGAGGTCTTTATCCTGTTAAAGAACAATTGTAGGAGAATTCGATATCGTTGTTTAGCAAACGAATGACAATTGTTCGATAGGGTGTCCTAGTACAGTACCCGCTTCTATCCGCTGTTTCAAAAGTGGAGGTGCACAATGCGAAAATGATTACTTTTCTTCATGCTACACAAATCTTTGATACGATCAAAGAACCATTGCTGATTTCACGAAATTTTAGGTAACTTAATTTAATTTTGAAATTCAGACTGGAAATTAGATACCTCTTTGATTCAAAATGGTAATTCAACGTCGTCATGAGTGGAAACGGCTAACAAAATTAATCATTTAATATGTTTGCAACACTCAATTATCACGGACTGTATGCTATATCATCTCTTATGCCCAAAACTTCAACCTCGTGGAGTTTCTACGACCTTACTGTTACTCACCTTGCGATACTCACGAACCGTTTTATAATCTATAAATTTCAGGGCGACCTAAGAGAAGAAAAAAATTAACCACTTACATCGATGGTTTTCCTGAAAAATTCAACGGTATGGCTGACAACTAGTAAGATTTGGGCATTTTACTTCATCTCAGAAGCATGCAGAGCAATATGGCAAATAACGCCGAGGATTGTTTGTTTTTGGAAGGAGAGACATTTTGTAAGAATTACCGGTGTTTTTTTGGTTCCTTTTATGGCATAACCCTTGAAAACTCCACCAAATCCACCTTCGCCAATCAAGCCATTTTCGATATAGTAGTATGTCACACCTGAAAGTCAAAAGCAATTGCTTGTTAATAAAACTAAATAACAAAAGAAATATGTAAAGTAAAATGGATTTTAGAATAAAAAAACAAATGCTAAAAAAATAGGTTCGTGATTTCTATAACGTTAGAATCGACTTGCCTTTTGACTTGCAAACTTCAACAAGGTTTTCCCCATCGACAACTCTAGTGACGCGTGGCACATTTGAAGGTTGGAAAGGTTTGACTTGGCATTCTTTCATGATTTTCCACTTGATGAGTTTTTCTTTCAAAATGTTACGCTTTCTCTTCACGTCATAGATGCTTGGAATATAAATTGAAAAATTTTTTGTGTGTAATGGGAATATTTTAATAAATACAGCTGTTGTTAACTTGTTTGTTTACTTTACGGACTGCATGTAGCTACACCATCTTAAATTATCAATAAATACCGCGCCTACCATTCATTTGTGCTATCCGGAACTGCAGTTGAGCAAGATTGAAGCTATGAACATAAAGAATATCGTTATGGATTAGTGAGTTGACTTGTGCTTATTGTGTTTCTGTTTAATTGCATTAATATCAAAATATTATTGAACAAAAACTTGTTAGAATCAAAAGTACTGAAGTTTGCCGATCTTTCATTGCTATTTTTGAGATAAATTTAATCTTCAAAAAGAGTTTTGGATTGTAAGCTGCTCATTTCTTACCATTTGTTGAGACGACTGTGAGATTTGGAAGAGTTCACCGGCAGAATGTTGGCTTCCACTGTGTATTAATGAAAATGAAGAATATTTAGTCAAAGACTGAAAGATGAAGAATATCGCATTTAGAAATTGCTGCCATATCTTTTACTACCTAGCTAGATGTTTGTCGACGTATATAATAAAGGGTGACCACAAATATTGCGCTGAAGACAGGCGCAAACAGGGGCGTGTTCTAAATTTTGATGAAGGCTGGCGCACACTTCGCAAGTACAAGATTAAGTCAAAAATAATAATGAATACCCCCCCCCAACTTAGCAGTTTTCCGCGGCCCCTAAATAGCCCCACTAAATTCGCCTTGGAAAACGCATCATAAAACCTGCAACTAGCACTTTATAGACTGAAATTGTAGAGAAATAAAATCTTACCAATCCCAGGAATACTCCATGTCAAAGAAGCGTAAAAACTGAAATAGTAAATTTCAAATAAACACTACATCAGTTGTGTCATATTCAGCTGAACGAGCCATGTTAAGATAGCAGCTCAATACGAGAGAAGTGACTTCATCAATTTCAAAGCTTGATTAATTGAAGAGTTGAATTGACTTCTCAAACTCAAACCGCAAAGACGCGCCTTTGAAATAATAACATGTGTCATTTCAACATTTCATAACCATACTACTTCCTAGAATATTTATTCAGGGATTTTACAACATCAATTAGAGTAATTTCCTTTGTTTCGAACCATGAATTATATCAGGAAAAAATTAGAATACAACCTAAAATTAAAGAATTCTTTACCTCAGAATACTCCGAGATTTGAGACGCGTTTACGTAATCAAATGAACACTGGACACTACCAGCACTAAAAACGATATTTTGTATTAATGTAGGGGACTTGAAGTGGTAAAAGTCTGTAACCTCACCAAATAAAAGAACAGGTTTATATATTGAGAGGGTAAATCAATTACGTTTATTTAAGTCTTATATTACGTAATATATTAAGTTTTACTCAAGCATCCCAAATTCAAGCCAGGAATAGTCGAGAAAAAAGTTGTCAGGTATCGTTGCCTTGTTAGAATTCAAACCTACGCCTTTGCGATGCCGACATTACCATCGTAAATACACACTAACAACGCTCGCTCCTATGAGCTACCCGTGTTGCCCATCATTGCACCGGCATCATAAAGGAGAAGGTTTGATTTCTGCCGAAGGCCACTTCTAAGAGGCATCAGGGGCCGGTTGTTCGAAAGGCGTTTAGCTTAAACGGCGTATAAGTTCAAAATGAAAAACAAAATTATTCATTTACTGAACAACTGAGCTGAAATATTTCGATGTAATAGTTTAATTGTCGATGAAAGTACATATTTAATGCATAAATGTAGGTTCAATCATTTACAAGATGTATGAAAGTATTTTTAAACTTTGGCTCATCCACCGTTTAAGCTAAACGCCTTTCGAACAACCGCTCGCAGAAAGTTTGCTAAATTTTTTGTCTAGTACTGACACTAGAACAAATTCCACATAAACTTAACATTCCCCCCTTGCGTTGAAAGATGAGGGTAGCTAAATGAGTAAGAAGCGCTTGTATGGTTTGTCGTGACGCAAGGAATACCTTTTTATTATTATACTTTATAATAAAATATTACGTATTATTATCATCGTTATTTTTTCGTATCACAGATGAATAATATTTCCCCAAAATGAAGACAAACACGTGTCAATATAATAAAACATCCTTATGTTATAGCTAGACGCAATGTAAATAAAGATCATACCTCAGAGATCTCTCAAACGTTTCTTCTTCAAACGAAAATACTGATTCCTCCTGTGAAAATTAGAACGTTTATAAGCTTATTAAATTACTGCTTTAATTCCCGATTTCCAATTCAATCTTAAAATCACAGAACCGTCCACAAAAGAAAATAACTAATTCATACCTTATAGGAGATGCGAGAATCATTAGAATTCATATTCCTGGACAGAGGGGAAAGAAAAAATGCATGAATAATGTTAAAAAGTTTTAAACAAAAATTCCCTTAAAGATCGAAGCGCAGTCTTAAACATTTAGAGAGTGAGAAACACGCAGAACCCAACTCTAGGCCATTCATACGCCTAAATGTAAAAATATTACACATAAATTCTTATTACAAAGCCGTGAATTGACGTGGAGCGGGCGTTTGGATTTACGCGCGCGTTTTTATTAGCGCATGCATTTACTTTGTTCGTTGCGCTGAGCAGCCGTATTTTTAGTATATTTTGTTTTCCATTTCTCAAATCAAATCTCAAAACTTGTTTACGTTGTCACTTTCGACGGTGAACTAAATTCTCTTCCTTCCGAAACACAAACGGAACTGTGTAAACACTTTTCTCTGTTTATACTTTATAAATTAAGCCACTTAATAATACGCAAAATGAATTAAAACAAAAAATATATGTAAACCACAATTATTTTTACACTAAACAATAAAATCTTAAATATACTTACAATTTTCTCGATAATTTCAATGTAGAATATTGAACAACAATATGACAACGCTTTTGAAAACAATTTGCAACGAACTAACTTCGCGAAATGTGAACCTCTCGAAAAATTTCGACAAGTGAGCGGTCCTTTGTTGACGTAGATAATTAATACTTTTGCGCGCGCGAGTTTTGGTGAGCAAGCCAGACATTGAGTCAGCGTTCGCGAATACCTCGTAATATTGAAAATGTTATAATATAAATTACTACATACAATTATATGTTATGTGTAAGTACATATTTATGCTAAAGTAGGCAATCTGCAATCTTGTTGTAATGTTCAACGACTTCTTAGACCTCGTTTACTTTTGCTTTTTAGTGCGATTTTCGAAAGAGCTCTCAATAGAGAGTTCGAAAAGTGCCTATATAGCATACGTGACGAAATTTGTTTAAAAAGTTAGAGCTATAATATAGCTTATTTTTAAATGGATTTTTTAAATCAATAATCCAACGAAAGATAATAACCCCCCCCCGGTTGATTAGAATTAATGAATAGATAATTAGAATGAATGAGTGAATAATTAAAATGAATTAGCATTAGCCTTTGATTATATTTGGAATAGCTTTGTCTGTTGTATTACATTCCACTCCAGCGTCTTTTATATGATCACATTTGTGGATTCGCCATCCGCGATGAATAGATCTTGTTATTTTATTCAGTTCTTCTCCATCACAATCGATATCATCCAACCAAATACCTCCAGATCCAGGTGGCACCCTTTGAAGGGACCTGACGGCATCAGGATAACCAAGTTGACGAGATACTACCCTTGCATCTCTAAAATCCCATTTATTATCACAGATTGCTCCCCAGGTTCCATTGTAGAGTACTTCAACCCGACCGGTGCCATTTGCACTCGGTAGTCCTCGTAATCTTAGTGATACAGGCTCATCTAAAAAAACGTGAAAGAATGTGAAAAGATTTAATAAAGTTCATGCTAGTTTTACGTAGATCGAATCATGCAAAATGTACATCAACCATATCTTTTCCGTACGAAATTTACTATTATTTTATACCGGATGTGCGGCATTCAACTCCAGCATTTTCCAAATGTGAACAAGGATGAACCCACCAGCCTCGATGAGTACAGCTTGTTATATTCCGCTCTTCCCCTGTACAAAAGACGTTGATTAACCATATCTTCCCGGAACCAGAAGGAACTTCGCTTCTTTTAAGAGCCCTAACAGCATCTGGATAGCCAAGTTGACGACATACAACCCTTGCATGCCTGAAATCCCATCCATTATCACAGATTGCACCCCAGGTTCCATTGTAGAATACTTCAATACGGCCAGTACCTCTTGCACTCAGTGGGCCTCGGAACCTCAGCAAAACAGGTTTGTCTACAAGTACGAACAAGAGTCAGATGTTTGAGCATGGTTAGTGGTTCAAGGCTACCAATAGTTAAAAACAACGAGCTGTTTCCAACAATAGTAAATTCTGTATGAAGTACAGCTGTACAGTTGTGTCAAGTGAAGTACATACCTTACTTTCTGTTGTACTGCATTCAACTCCAGCGTCTTCATGTTGTAAGCAACCATGAAATCCCCACCCGCTGTGAGGAGAACTTGTTATGTTCTGTTCTGACCCAATGCAGTCCACCTCATTTAACCATGTTGGTCCAGAACCATGAGGAGTCTGGTGCCCTTGAAATGCACCAACGGCGTCGACATAGCCAAGTTGACGACACACAACTCTGGCATCTCTGAAATCCCATTCAAGATCACAGATTGTTCCCCATTGTCTACTGTGGAATTTTTCAACACGACCAGTACCAACGGCGCTTAATGGTCCTTGCAATCTTAGTGAAGCAAGACTACCTGCAAAAATTTAAAAACAACAATCAACGTCATGTTATTTTTACCGAATTTTCTTTTTCCAACAGTGAAATACGAGCCGCTAATACAACGTTAAACAATATCTTAATCTCAATCCTTTAAGGAATAGAAGTCCGCAGTTTGAAGCGAAGTTCAAAAGCTTATGATTGTTTTGAAATCAGTTTATTTACGAAAGAAATGTGTGTGCAGTCAACAATGACCAATTTGAAAACGGGAATGAAAACCAATTTTCACCCGGATCGTTTTTCGTTGGTGGAAATGACTACGACTAAATATACACCAGGATCAGGAGAACACCGAAACATGGATATAAATATAAATTTCTACCAATATTTTTGCCTGTGCTACATTCTACCCCAACATCTTTTGAATGATCGCAACCATGTCTCCCAGAGCCTGGATGAATACATCTTGCTATATTTTCTTCGTTTCCAATACAATCGACGTCTTCTAACCATACACGTCCAGAGCCAGACGGAATCTTCCAAATCTGAAGAAATCTGACAGCATCTGGATAACCAAGTTGACGACATACAACCCTAGCGTCCCTCATATCCCATCCCTTTTCCCAGATTGTTCCGCATTGTCTATCGTAGAGTACTTCAACACGACCTGTACCTTTTTCACTTTTTGATCCTTGTAACCTTATTGTGACCGGCTTACTTGCTAGGAATAACAGGAATATGTGGTCTGGTTGTAAATAGAAAGTTTTGTAGAAGCAGAAAATATTAACTCGATTATGTAAGTGAAAGCAGCTTGTATACTAGATAAGCCTGGTTTCCATGCAGTAGTAATTGTCGCGAACACAACAAGATGGCTGATTCATATGAGTTCCAATGAAGAAAAAAAAGGGCGCCTGTATTTACTTAATTTATCGATATCAAGGTGATGAGTGATTTACCACAAATGCAAATTTTGTATACCCAGGACTTGACTGGATGCGACGCTTGGCGATTGAAGAGCGTATGTGGCGGTATTTATCTTTGTCAAAGTTTTGTCTCCCAAGAGTTGTGGTGCACCACTCCAAATCTTTGGCGAATTTTCCGATTCGAGATTTGATTTCACTCGCATGATACGGCAATTCCTCCAAGAGGAATGCATGTAAATTTAATACATGTAAATTCTGGTTGATTTTAATAATATCGCTGAACTTCAGTCTATTCTTTTTAAAGTACGACGTGCTTCTGAATGTCGAACAAGATTTAGCCGGTTCTCAACACTTCTATATTTTTAAAACACAGTGTGTTGTCTGAATATCAAACAACATTTAGGTTCGCAAGGCTTCTAAATCAATGAGTATAAACTGCAGTGTTTATATTCACAAGCTTTATATTCAAGACTTGGACGTGCGGCACGCCGGAGTTAACGCCAGAGCAGGCGTCTTGTTTAATATTAGATTTTTAGCCAATTGCTGCTTTTAATATACCCGAAGTAAGCACCTATCGCGAAACCAAAAAAGTGGGTAATTTAAACTAGATTTATCGAATAAAATCTTTTTTGGCGAAGAAATATTGATAGTTTTAGAATGGTGGCGCCTGACAATTTTGTCCTGCTTTTCTATTATGGTGGTGTTCATTGACTCTGAAAACAATGAATTTTTAAAGGAATGAATAATGATAATAACTAAAATTTTCATAGCATGACTACAACCCGATTATAGTGGCTGCTCCACTGAATATACAGGATATCAAAACTTACAACAGGTAAATTTCTTTCTTACGTTTTTTCAACCGCGTACCCAGGACCTTCTCGTAGTGAGGGAGTAGAAGGGCCTAAAAAGGCTGCCCACATTTGCCCAAGTGACTCCTATTTTTTGCGGAATTCGGTGAATCCAAATACTCGTATCTGAATACTGCAAAAAGCTCGTCGCGTGGGCTGCCATCTTCATGGCTTTTTCCTCCCCATACGATAAGGGCCTAGGTACGAGGTTAACGTTTTTTATGACGTTTTACAAGAAAATGGTTACACGTTTGCAACAGTGTTACGTGTAGGAGGCATGAGAGAACTCTCCTCTTTCAGCTGCTTCCGTCGAGGATCGCGACGTTGGACTTGTGTCTTTTTCCCAGCAAACTTTCGAAGTTGTTGTCTTGTACCAGTGGGTAAAATAACAAAGAAAATAAACACAAACAGTCCTTGAAGTGAGTTGAAAATGGCAAATAAATACTGAAATACGACTTTAGCATCATCAATCGCAAGGATGCCAAAAACCCAGGTCAAGCCAAGGAGAAACATAATCGCAATTCCTTGTTTGGCTTGCTGAAAACCCGATCGTTTGCAACTAGATGTAACTCTCGTACCGGAAGTGAGCAATGACCGAATGATAAAGCAAAAGGCAACGATATTACCAGTGAAGATCACAACAGCTGGAGCGAGAAATGCCACAATGAATGGCAAGCCTTGTAGTCGACAACTAAAAGAATAAACAATTCCCATATAACCTTTCCATTATGTTCTTCCTATGATTGATAAGTTTGAATTGGATGAAGAAGCTCCGTTATACTGAATATTGTCAGTGGCCGCGGAAGATCGATGAATTATCGGCTAGCATTCATATAATATTTATTCCTGTTAACAGACCGTAACGAAGAGAAAACTTAATATGATTATGACAACATATATTAATGAGAATACTCAATTCTACTTACTAATTATTGTCGCCATATTCATCCATGGCAACCACCATTGTAATTGCTACTATTATACCAGGAGTTCCTAAAATGTACTAGGCATTATTAGGAATATTTAAGACAAATAATACATATTATATAACAGTTTAAAATGCAAAAAATATCATAGGCAAATCGTCTTACAGAAGACTTTACTCAGTCTTTGCATTATTGCAAAATAATTGCTGTAAACTAAACTTTTTATGTTCATTGAGACAACGTTTTATTAAAATTTTGAAACGTTTTGTAAGTTATTTACAAAGTCACATCATGTTATTTATATCTTTCAAATAACATGTATATAACGTGTGTTCTGACTTGTCGAAGTCCATGTTTGGATCAGGCCATACAAACACAGAAATTGATTTCCTTATTGAAATCAAAAATAGAACACTACCTTGATGTTGCTATTTTATAAAACAATCACTTAATGATTTCCCGCGTTTGGACGGCCTGATCCAAACACTTGGCAATGTTGCCTGAGTTAGGAAAAGCTCGCAATATCACTCGCCTTCGGCTGTTGTTTCGCGCGCTTTTCTTACAACTCTCGCAACATTCCTGCGTGTTTTGATCAGGGACATGTCGCAGCACTCGAAGGCTTTCGTCCAATTGGATAATAATTTTCTATGCTTTTTAAAGAACGAAGCTATGCTATTGGTTGAAACAGAAACTGTATTGTAATGTTCAGCCTATGAAAATCATTCTTGCAAGGAGCTGCGACACTACTCTTTGATCAAGCCATCCAAACACGGAAACCACTACGTAACTGTTTAATACAAGCTCTTCCATTTCCTCGTTATAATATATTTACTAAGACGTACCCCAGGCAAATAAACAGCACTTCAGCATGAACTTGAATTGAGACGAATAAGAAAATACTTTAACAAAAGCCAGATACATATTAAACCCTTCCACAGCCATCCACAAAAACGCTGCTAACAAGAAGTAATGCAAGGCGACTGCCGCTGCTCGACAGCCGAACACCGGCAATGTTTTTGGCAACTCGGCAGAAACCAGGAAAACAATCAGCATTAATGCCAACGCGATGCAGAAGTTTAACAAAATCTGGCTTGGAATTTTCGTTCGGAGTTCTCTAAACAGGGGAAGTGAAAGTTTTATTAATTTAAAGAGTATTAGTTGTCTTTATTCAGTGTCTTATTTGAATTAGCTTTTAGAATTATGATGAAGTTCCATATCAGATTTTCGTATCGTGCTTTATTTATGAAATATTTCACTAAAATTAGCTAACTGTCCGCCATCTTGGATTATCACGGATATGCATTATACGTCACATGTGGGATCACGTCATCAACATTTTTATACATAGTTTGGAATATACTAAATAAAAGTAAAATACAAGTTATACAACTCATTAACCATGTTATTGTACAGGGGCCGGTTGTTCGAAAGGTGTTTAGCTTAAACGGTGGATAAGTTCAAAATGGAAAACCAAATTATCTATTTATTGAACAACTGAGCTGAAATATTTCGATGTAAATAGTTTAATTGTCAATGAAAGTGCATATTAAATGCATAAGATGCAGGTTCAGTCATTCGCAAGATCTATGAGAGTATTTTTAAACTTTGGCTTATCCCCAGGTTTATGCAAAAAATGGTTCCTTTCTCGTCACGTGTCTATTGTATTTTAGCCAAACGTACCAATGGCATTCTTTTAAAAGACTGCCATTGGTTTATCTGTGCAAAATACAATAGATATGTGATGAGAAAGCGACAATTTTTGGCATAAATCTACCTCAACTAGGCTTGAAAGTAAACTTGAAAAAGATCCCATAGACCAAGTCTGCATACTTATTCTATTCGCTAGAAGTAATTCTAAGCCAGCTTGTGACGTAATCAAAACTGTAGTTAATGAGGCTAGAAAGTAATCCAAGATGGCGGACAGTTAGTCACAATATGACAAAATTAATGTGAAATAGAACTTTATCATAATTTTTAAACCTACTTCAAAGAAGACATTAATGCCCATACCTTGTAATGATCAAAAGGAAAGATTGTGTGAAGCGACAATTCTTAATGGCAAGTAATAGTTTACATTACCTCAATATTGTAATCGTAATAATTGTCAAGATGAGACCAAGCAATGAAAGCGCGCAACCAATAGTACTGATTACACTAAGTATTCTGTCATGCGTCGTAGCCTCTGCAGGTGGGCTGATGTCCTAAAATGTAGAAAAATCAAAATATTCAGTTCAATATTTACAGGAACTCTGATAAAGAAATAATTCAATGCCTTTTCTCACTCACTTCATGCACTCACAACTGATTACCGATTATTGGTTACGTTATATCTCTTTAAAAACTAATTTTATTACTTACTTCATATTGAAGGTTTTATTATCTTCCTGTCTCGTTCCAAAAAATTTTTCTATTCATTTCGCAAATGCAGGGATCGAAAAAATTCTAAACGCTCTAAACTCTAATACGTTTTTTTTGGAGCAATCGCTCCTTTTTTCATATCTTGCACATTGTGACGACTTACCATCAGCATCGCAAAGTTGGTAAAATGGTTACAGTTACAAAGTACTCTGCCATCTTTAAGGGCTCTTTCAAACCAACAACCTTCTTGTGACCAATCCTGAAGACTGAATTCCCAGTAAGAACACAAAGTACTGTTCATGTCCCCGGGAGAAATGCTCTGAAAAGCGATTTTCACAGGTACCTTTAAATTTACAACTGATACGTCCTTAATATCCACAGAAATTACGAAACTATTCAAACGGTTCAAGGTGTTTCCATCCGTAGTGAAGAAGTTTGTTTCTTTATAAAAGATAAAAATGAATGTGCAGTTTCCTGAACAGTTTGCGACAGCTATTTCGTCGAATATCGTTCGTGGAATAATTAGCGAGGTTGATAAATAACTTGGAAGACTGGCGTTGGATTCGACTGAAATGCTGTTTTCTCCAAAAGACTTTACTTCACGTTTCCAATTAATCCCAGTCCCAGAAAACGTTATCCCGCTAAAGTTTTGTTGTTGTATAGCTTGGAGATTAAGAGCGTAATTCTTTTTGACTTTTTCAAACGTGCCGTTCGGATGAAGGACTAAATTATGAGCAAATTCATTCAAAGCTCGGACGATCCTGCAATCCCAGAAAAAATTAACATAGAAAATTAGAAATGTGCCATTTTATTTCTCTTCAAAACCGAAAGGGCAAGAATTTCGCGCGATAAAATAAATTAATGTCATCTTTTAGTCGAAGAATTCACCCATGATGTTATCTATCTGCAGTTGCACAATTCAACTTTCAGTAAAGGAACATTGTCCCTGCTTGCCACATTTTTACAAAAAAATAAAGAAAAAATGTGTTTAAATCTGTTTCCACACATTGGCTATAAACATCTCCAAACGGATTCGTTTCTTTTTGCGGTCATTCTTTCAAAATGGCGTCTGTAAATTTTAGTGCATGTGAATCTAATTTTTGACGCCAAATTAGTGCAGAGAAGACCAAATTCACCAAAAAGACACTGCAAAAAGTGAGAAAAATGCAAGGAAAAAGTTTGAAGTGCATCTGAAGTCTTGGAATTGACGACCTTCAGCAACGAAAAGTTTGAAATTTGAATATAACTATATGAGGTGATGGACAAATTCACGGATTCACGCTTCGGAAGATTCTTCAAGGTAAATAAGACAAGAAATATTCCTGCAAAATATTGATATATCTACCTGGAAGAGGAATTGTGTTGCCGTTCACTTTGGATAATATCTTCACCTTTATTACTTAGGACATTGTCTACCGTCGTAAGGAAATCTTCAGAAATCTATAAGATATATGCAAAATCCAATACAATTCGACATATGCGTATTAAAAAGAGCATATCCCAAGACGAAAATCTTATAGTTACTCCATAGGTCTGTTCACACGGTCCACTTTGTTTGATCCAATTCACTTTGATGGGTGTCAAATGGCCTGTTGACTTGCAATGAATATGATCAGCAAATTCACTGAAGCCAATTCAGTATTGCTTTATTGATAATACAGTACATCCCATGCATACGTCAGAAGTGATTTGATCCAACAAAATTGGGTCGTGCGAACAGACCTTAAGGATTAAACTTATACGAAAAGGGAACAATTATGACTACTAAACTTCGAATATATAACTTTCTAATTCCTATCCTCTCATCCCAACTTATTTAAAGATAGCCCGTCGCACACTGGAGCTATCAGCTGAGCTAAACGTCACTCGTGACGGTTGGCATAAGCAGGTTCCTCTAGTCTGCGGTGGCGATTTGAGCCCTTTCCGGCACGCGTGCCATCTGCGCCAGATATTCAACATGTTCAAGTTGTTATTTGAAGTTTGTTTCGTTTTACTTTTTATCAAATTGCCGGTTGGTAAAGAAATATGAAGTAACAAACCTCGTTAGATTTCTGTTTGACTGCGACAATTTTCTGTAATGTTTTTGCGATATTGTTAATTTCTCCAGCTTGAGAAGTTCGAATCTTCTCGGGATCAACAACAGACAATTCCTTCAGTTCCTCGGTGGCAGTAACCACGTTTCTGGTATTAATATCTTTCTAAACATAAATTCCAGCATTCAATGACTCAGGAGTCGATGTTTCTAATCTAATTGCGCGCAGTCATTTGAAATGAATAATGAATGAGCACAAGACAGGCACTTAGGGGAAAGATAAAGAGTATATACGTCGTTATAATTTGGCATCCTTTTGCCTGTAAGAAAAGTTACAAGAAATATTTTACAACGAATTTATCCAAAAAAGAAAATTACTATGGAGAATTAAACTTCGACTGGCATATCATATCTTAGACTAAATATCGGAAGAAAAATATCATGGAGTTTAGATTCTTTTCATATTTACAGCATTAATATTACTAATCGCTCGTAAATCCACGTTGTTTTGCAGACGTTTAACTACCTGTGACAATTGAAAAAGATCTTTGCTTCGTTTGTTTTGAAATTTGCAACTACTTGCCACAATCCCACTCCAGATGCTTCCACTTATGGTTCGGTTTGAATACAAACATTCACGACTAGCGGTGGACTTGTCGTTGTAAGGACAAGGAAGTGTTGCACTTTTTCCGATTGGTGTTTCAGGCCATTTGAAAATGCCAAATGCTTCGCGTGTGCCGACTATGTCGCTAGCACAAGGACCTTTAAAAAGACAAAGTGGGGAAAACTGTATCAAAACAGTCATACAATATTACAGTATAAAATATAATTTACTCACTCGCAATGTGTTCTATAGAAAATCTGAAGTTATATACCGGAAGCAATAACTGTTTTCAAATACTGTGAACCAAGGCATGAACAAAAAACTCTCTTTGTACTCTCCATTGATTGTTGCGATTTCCTTGACTACATGTATTTTAACCACACCGTATTCTTATGATCACGTTATTTGTTTAAGTTGCTTTACGGTATCTCTGTCTGCAGAATTTTTTCATTAGATCATGTGAAAGCAATGATATTATCATACTTTTGGGGTCAAACTGGTTTAATGTCATGAAATGTGAAATCAAACAGTACAGTCGTAAAATTGTAAAACAATCAAGAGATTTTAGACCGATATTTAAGACGTTTTGCTAAAACACCTGTAATAACGAAGTGAAATTATCAGCACACGCATGCTATACCTGTGTTAGTGCATTCTATTCCAACGTCTTGCGAATGCACGCAACTATGGTTTCCCCATCCATTGTGAGAACAACTTGTTATATTTCGCTCTCTTCCATTGCAAGCAACGTCATCCAACCATATACGCTCAGAACCAGGAAGAGCCTGCCTCCAATGAAAATGTCTGACGGCATATTGATAACCCAGTTGACGACATACAACTGTAGTATCTCTCATATCCCATTCATTATTACAGATCGTTCCCCATTGACCATTGTAGAATACTTCAACACGACCAGTACCTTTTGCGCTCTTTGGTCCTTGTAACCTAACTGAAGCAGGGTTACCTGAAAGAAAGTAAAATCTATAAAGGTATATTTGTCGGATATAGCAGTTTTTACGATAAGTAAACATTATATAGAAACTTTCTCCGGCACACTATTTTGAAAACAAAGTAAATTATAGCATTCAAGGATATCTACATGGGTGTATGAGGCAAAATATATAATAGTTATAAATTTATACAACAGCGTAAAACGATTATGTATATTGTATTGTAGCCGAGTAAACGCAGATAAAAATGGGTATACTAGCACAATTTTTTTCTCGTACCGCGAGTGCAATTAAGTCGACTGTAGCATAAACTTAGCTGTTGTAATAAATCTATAGCTTGAAACAGACATATTTCCTAACTTCACCTGTTTTACCACATTCTACTCCAGCATCTTTCGAATGATCGCAATTATTCATTCCCCATTCGGGATGAGAACAACTCGATATATTCTGTTCTTTTCCTGTACATTTGACGTCAGCTAACCATATATGTCCAGAACCTGATGGAACCTGCCCCCCTTGAAGAAATCTGACGGCATCTGGATAACCAAGTTGACGACATACAACTTTAGCATCTCTAAAATCCCATCCATCGTCACAGATTGTTCCCCATAGTCCATTGTAAAACACTTCTACTCGACCAGTACCATTTTTACTTGAAGGCCCTTGTAATCTCACCGACACATTTGAAGCTGTAAAAAGGGAAAAACCATTCGAGTACGCAGATATAATGATAGAAATTAAAATAGGTATAAAAACATTTCATGACCAACTAAACGTCATTGCATGGCAGTTCAAGCCGATGGAAAAAAATGCAAATGCTTCCAACGATTTGAAATGTCCAAAGTGGGGAAAACTGTATCAAAATAGACATGCATACAATATTACAGTATAAGATATTATATCTTCAGTGGCGTAGCCAGCCTGACGATTTTTTCCGCTGTGTAAATTTCGTGTTATTATAATTATCATTTCTTTGTAGAAATTCATTGTTTTCACAGTCAATAAACACCAAAATATTAGCAAAGCGGGAAAAATCGTCAGGCTGGCTATGTCACTGCATATCTTATCCACTCGCAATGTATTCTATAATTATAAGCTGTTGCATAGAAAATCCTAAACGATGTTACCGGGAGCAAAAACTCTTTTCAAATTATGTGAACCAAGGCATAAACGACAAAATCTGTTTGTCGTATCCGTACTTTTTATATACGAGCCAGGTCAATATTTAACAAGAACATTGTCAGCTATACGGGATGTCGTCTCTGAGAAACAGTCACTTCAAATTCAAATCAGCAGCTACAAATAATTGTGTTTACTTGATTGTTGTGATTTCCTTGACCCCATGCATTTACACTATACACCGGATTCTTATGATTACGATATCTGTTCAAGTTGTTTTACGGTATCTCGTTCCGCAGAAATATTTCATTTGATCATGTGAAAGCAGTCATATCATCATACTTATAGGGTCAAACTCGCTTGATGTCATGAAATGTGAAATCAAAATGTATAGTCGTAAAATTGTAAAACAGGCAAGAGATTTTAGACCGATATTAAAGACGTTTTACTAAAACACCTATAATAACGAAATTATTACAAAAAGTGAAATTATCAGCACACACATGCTATACCTGTGTTAGTGCATTCTACTGCAACGTCTTGCGAATGCACGCAACTATGGTTTCCCCATCCATTGTGAGAGCAACTTGTTATATTTCGCTCTTTTCCATTGCAAGCAACGTCGTCCAACCATATACGCTCAGAACCAGGAAGAGCCTGCCTCGAATGAAAATGTCTGACGGCATATTGATAACCCAGTTGACGACATACAACTGTAGTATCTCTCATGTCCCATTCATTACCACAGATCGTTCCCCATTGACCATTGTAAAACACTTCAACACGACCAGTACCTTTTGCACTATTTGGTCCTTGTAACCTAACTGAAACAGGGTTACCTGAAAGGACGTAAAATATATAAAGGTATATTTGGCGGATATAGCAGCTTTTACGATAAATAAGCGATAATATTTTTCTGGTACCGAGTGCTAGTAAATTGACTGTATAGCATAAAATTAGCCTGGACGGGGTATTTGGAACGGAAAAACATTTGAAGTATATATTATTACTAAAAACATCGAAGTTTCAGTTGGTGATTGGCAATAAATCGATAGCGGAAAACAGATATTTCGTAACTTCACCTGTTTTACTACATTCTACTCCAGCATCTTTCGAATGATCGCAATTATTGATTCCCCATTCGGAACGAGAACATCTTGATATATTCTCTTCTTTTCCTGTACATCTGACGTCAGCTAACCATATTTGTCCAGAACCTGATGGAACCTGCCCCCCTTGAAGAGATCTGACGGCGTCTGGATAACCAAGTTGACGACATACAACCTTAGCGTCTCTAAAATCCCATCCATCATCACAGATTGTTCCCCATAGTCCATTGTAAAATACTTCTACTCGACCAGTACCATTTTCACTTGAAGGCCCTTGTAATCTCACCGACACATTTGAAGCTTTAAAAAGGGAAAAACCATTCGAGTACGCAGGTATAATGATAGAAATTAAAATAGGTATAAAAACGTTTCATGACCAACTAAACGTCATTGGCAGTTCAAGCCGATGGAAAAAAATGCAAATGCCTCCAACGATTTAAAATGCCCAACGTGGGGAAAGCAGTCATATTATCATACTTTTCGGGTCAAACTCGCATGATGTCATGAAATGTGAAATCAAACAGTACAGCCGTAGAATTGTAAAACAGTCAAGAGATTTTAGACCGATATTAAAGACGTTTTGCTAAAACACCTATAATAACGAAATTATTACAAAAAGTGAAATTATCAGCACACGCATGCTCTACCTGTGTTAGTGCATTCAATTCCAACGTCTTGCGAATGCACGCAACTATGGTTTCCCCATCCATTGTGAGAGCAACTTGTTATATTTCGCTCTCTTCCATTGCAAGCAACGTCGTCCAACCATATACGCTCAGAACCAGGAAGAGCCTGCCTCCAATGAAAATGTCTGATGGCATATTTATAACCCAGTTGACGACATACAACTGTAGTATCTCTCATATCCCATTCATTATTACAGATCGTTCCCCATTGACCATTGTAGAATACTTCAACACGACCAGTACCTTTTGCACTATTTGGTCCTTGTAACCTAACTGAAACATGTTTACCTGAAAGAACGTGAAATATATAAAGTATATAATAATTTGTCGGATATGGCAGTTTAGTTACGATAAATAAACGATAATATTTTTCTCGTACCGAGTGCCAGTAAATTGACTGTAGCATAAACTTAGCATGGGCGAGGTATTTGGCATGGAAAAACATTTGACGTATATATTATTAAAAAACATCGAAGTTTCAGTTGGTGATTGGCAATAAATCGGTAGCGGAAAACAGATATTTCGTAACTTCACCTGTTTTACTACATTCAACTCCAGCATCTTTCGAATGTCCGCAATTATTGATTCCCCATTCGGAATGAGAACATCTTGATATATTCTCTTCTTTTCCTTTACAACGGACGTCAGCTAACCATATTTGTCCAGAACCTAATGGAACCTGCCCCCCTTGAAGAGATCTGACGGCATCTTGATAACCAAGTTGACGACATACAACGTTAGCGTCTCTAAAATCCCATCCATCGTCACAGATTGTTCCCCATAGTCCATTGTAAAATACTTCTACTCGACCAGTACCATTTTCACTTGAAGGCCCTTGTAATCTCACCGACACACTTGAAGCTGTAAAATAGGAAAAACCATTAGAGTACGCATATATATTGATAGAAATTAAAATAGATAATAAAGCGTTTCATGACCAACTAAACGTCATTAGCAGTTGAAATCGATGGAAAAAAATGCAAATGCTTCGAACGATTTAAGAGCGTTGAAATTTTTGTTGAAGATGAGCAATGAGTAGAAAATAAGAAAAATAGGAAAATAAGCGATGCAAAGATTATGAGTCATGGCTTCCAATATTGTGTGCTCCATTTTTGTGTTTTCCTATATATTCAAGGAAAATTATTTTTATTAAGGATTGATGCTAAGGTATTTTTTGGAAACTTCACCTGTTTTACTACATTCAACTCCAGCATCTTCCGAATGAGTGCAATAATTAATTCCCCATCCGAGATGTGAGCATCTTGATATAACCTTTTCTTTTCCTGTACAACCGACGTCATCTAACCATATTTGTCCAGAACCTGATGGAACCTGCCCACCTCGAAGTGATCTGATTGCATCGATAACAAGTTGACGACATACAACCCTAGCGTCTCTAAATCCATCCATCATCACAGATTGCTCCCATAGTCATTGTAAAATACTCTACTCGCGGTACCATTTTTACTTGGAAGGCCCTGTTCGCACGGACACATTTATAGCTGTAAAAATGCAAAAACTACTTGAATACGCAGTCAATGAGAGAAAATATAGGTACAAGAGAAGGTTTGAGTGACTTTCGTATAAAATAGCATAAACATAAGACATTAAACACTCCGCCTGATATATATGAAAAAAAATATTTTGATCCCCTCAAAGTTTGGCCACAGAATAACAAACATGCATCACGTAGACCGTTAATTTCGGCGTTCTTGAAGTCGAATAATACGATACTAGTCACCATCTTGAGTAGGGCGAATAGTTTTTTTACAAAAAGCCTTTATATGAAAGAGAACACGCAGGGGATAGCAGTTAACTTATAATTTTAAATATAACTTTCATGTTCGCGAAGTCCAGCGAAATTTGGAATAAATTGAAAAGCATTTGAGGCAAGACTACAAACAAGAACAGAATCAAGACTATCAAGAGCTTAATGATTGTTCTATATGGCCAAAGCTCAAGCCACAAATGCAGGATTTGAATATTAATGAAATGTTTTAAGAATGAAATTAAAGAAAACTTGGTAGTTTTTTGGGGGCATAGCCAGTGTTATCAGTTGCGGTATGAATGCATGAGACTGTTGCTTGAGAACTTTCACATGTCACTTGTCAGCGCTCTCAATTTAAACCGGCGAAATTGGACTTGGACTACTAATAGACACTTTAGGCATTCATTTGTGCAATTAATGATTGCATATTTTAATTTGCCCAGCCAATCAGCGCTATACTATAGCTACAACGAAGCCTCAATGTATGTGGAATATGAAAACAAAAATGCATGATTCTTCCGACGGTTCAACAAACACTAAATTTTCATTTAAAAATGGGCCGTGAATCAATAAAGTAAGCAAATATTTTTGGAAACTTCACCTGTTTTTGTACATTCTACTCCAGCATCTTCCGAATGATAGCAGTTATTTATTCCCCATCCGCGATGAGAACAGCTTGATATGCTATTTTCAGTTCCGAAACAACTAACATCATCTAACCATATTCGTCCAGAACCTGAAGGAACCTGATCCCCTTTAAGAAATTTGACAGCATCCAGATAACCAAGTTGACGACATACAACCTTAGCATCTTTAAAATCCCATCCATCATCGCAGATTGTTCCCCAAGTTCCATTGTAGAAGACTTCAACACGGCCAGTACCGTTTTCACTCGAAGGTCCTTGTAATCTGACCGGCACATCTAAAGCTGTGGAAATGCAAAGGCTAATTCAGTACGCGAAAAATTACCTAAAGAGTATAAGGCAACAAAGTTAGTATTTAAATAGGCGAAGACCTCAAGCCTCGTTCTCAATAATAAACAATAATAAACTAAAAGTTTTGACTATATCCGTATTAATTTTGGGTCGAACTCGACGCAGTTAACCGAATTTCTATACCTCACAATATTATATAATCATTTTTGCACTCACTTTGTACAGTATATGTATACTATATAATGTTGGCGTTCCATACCCTAACGCCGAAAGTAGCCTTTTTATACGAATATGAACATTACATATTACAACTTATGACTTCAACGCTACACGTCATGTCGTCGTTTTCATATCCATTTCAAATTTATTGCACAAAGCCGTTCTCGCGTATCCGCTCAGTGGTTTTCAAATTCCGCAGGTACAACACCCTCGGCATGCTTTACAACAAGCCTTCTAACTGCAACAGTCACGAAAACTAAAGAGAACTCTATATTATGTGAACAGGAGCGATAATTCCGGCGGCCCTGTGTTGAAGCCATGCATTTTTGGACCGAATTGAAGGAATTAAAAGTCCAGTCTTTTAAATAACACTCTTTAATTTACTTTTGATCTTGTCATTTTTATTAGTAATTTGTTTGTCTTCTGATGTTGTAAATCTCGTTCAAAACAACGTGCTTTCGCTTTACTTTTATTGCAGTATACTGTTTAATTTCATGAAAGCGAAACAATTACAAAGCCAAACATCTACAGCCTACCATACACATAATCTATTTGCACTATTTTGGTGCGAAATTTAAGCAAACATGGATGACAAAATTCTTCGAAGAGAAAATAAGAGAAAATAAATATTTGTTGAAGAAAGAGGCCTATGAAAGAGGCCTGCAAATGCGATAGTGAAAACAATTTGCATTTTTTTGTTTTAAAACTCTTTTCTGGCTGATCAGATGACGTTTAAAAGTGGTCGGCTTAGTTTTAACTTGCGTCTCCTGCGCGAATACTTGACCGATTTTGATAAAATTGAACCATTTTAAAGAGGAAATTATATATCCTCAATCGATAGATTTTTTTAGTTCTATGTGTTGCAAATTCACTATGATATTTACTTTAAAATGCATGCAATTTATTTCTTATTCGATATTATTATACCTGAAAAGCGGCCTAATCCTTAGAATATTGTCCAAAACGCAAACGAAAACTGATTACAGTGATTTAGTTCACATTTCTAGGATCATTTTGATACACTTAGCTTCAAATTAGAGGCTTCAGGCGATTTGTGTTGATTTTTTATTTAAATATTCATAATCTGCATGATGAATTATCGCGTAGCTCACGGCAAGCATTTCACAATTATAGAAAGAAAAAGTTCGGGCAAAAAACCCGAAAAACTGGCCGTTTGGTCCTATTTTACGTCAGAAATCGATGTTATCAAAGATGCTGCAATATTCAATTGAAAAGTTATGGATGACGGGTATTCTTCGCTTCAAATGTGGTATATAACAACTGCCTAAAATAGACAAAAATACTCTCGACCATGCAGGAAGAGAAAATAGATATTTGTAGAAGAAAGAGGCTTGCAAATGCGATACTAAAAGCATTTTTTATTTTTGTTTCAAATTGCTTAGAAATTTCTGAATTGATTAGGGTGTCTAAATTAATCAGCACTATAGCTAAGTTAGTTAGTCTATTTTGGAAACAAATTTGGAGCCAAAAGGAATTTTATTCTTTAATATTATGCGGTCCTTATGTTATTAAGCGAAGTTTCTATTTTATCGTAATTGTCGTGAACGAGTCATCTTCACCGATGAGAATTAGTCCGATTGTAAATTTGTCTCTATTTCTCTTTTCAAAGTAGAAACGCATAATTGCACATAAATAGAAATATTTCATCGCATCAGCGACCATGACATGTTTACGACACTTACGACTTAATGGAACAAAGCATTAGGCATGGTTCACACTTGATCTAAGAATCGGTAACAGACAATTTAGGTAACTTCACCTGTTTTACTACATTCAACTCCAGCATCTTCCGAATGATCGCAGTCATGAATTCCCCATCCGTGATGAAAACATCTTGATATATTCTCTTCTTTCCCTTTACAACTGACCTCATCTAACCATATTTGTCCAGAACCTGAGGGAACCTCATCCTCTTGAAGTGATCTGATCGCATCTGAATAACCAAGTTGACGACATACAACCCTAGCGTCTCTCAAATCCCATTCATCATCACAGATTGTTCCCCAAGTTTCATTGTAGAAGACCTCAACACGACCTAGACCACTTTCACTTGAAGGCCCTCGTAATCTGATCGACACATTTGTAGCTGTAGAAAGGAAAGCCAGTTATATTTGTAGCTCTTTTGTCTCGCCAGCTCGCTTGCTACGTTTTTATCCAATGAAAATGCCTTTCGGTAAAATTATATGCGAGCACTAAAAGTGATCTTGCGAGAGGGTTTTTGCGATGTTCGGGATTTGCAAATGAAAAAATGTCAGGGTGGCTGATGTGATAGAATGTTTTTGTGAGTGTGCAGGCAACAACGACGCATTTCAATACAGGAAAAAACTTAGATTTAAGTCCGGACTATTTCTTATGGGTAAAAATGACTTGTTCACGACCTTTACGACAAAATTAAAAACAGGCTTATATCGAGACTTGTGTCTCACATTTTATTATTTTGCCTTTGTCTTTCCCTATTCTTCGCTCCCATTATGACGTAATTGTCGTAAAGAAGTTGTTTTCACCGATGGGAACTAGTTCGATGTAAAACTGTCTTTATTTCCTGAATTCTTAGCAGACATTGTTGACTGAGCACGGGTAGCAATATTCTATTACATCATGACGTGTTACGAAAAATACAATTAAATGGAAACCAGACTTTATGCTTATGCTTACGTCGCAACAGAAAATCAGAATTTGACATTTCTCCTTGATGTGGGCAAGATTAATTAAGGTCTATCACCCTTGTGAATAATTTGTTAAGAGTATAATATTAAATATATTTAGCTATTTTCGGCCATTGTATTGTAGAGTAAACGCAGATAAAAATGGGTGTACTGGAAAATTTTTTTTTGTACCGAAGGCCAGTAAGTTGACTGTAGCGTAAACTTAGCCTGGACGAAGTATTTGGCACGGAAAAAAATTGAAGTGCAAGCATAGCAAGAGGATTATTTTATAAATTAAAAAAAAACCATTAAAGTTTCAGTTGGTGATTTGTAATAAATGGATAGCTGAAAACAGATATTTCGAAACTCCACCTGTTTCACTACATTCTACTCCAGCATCTTCCGAATGATAGCAGTTATTGATTCCCCATCCACGATGAGAACATCTTGATATATTCTCTTCTTTTCCTGTACATCTAACGTCATCTAACCATATTTGTCCAGAACCTGAGGGAACCTCCCACCCTTGAAGTGATCTGATTGCATCTGAATAACCAAGTTGACGACATACAACCCTAGCGTCTCTAAAATCCCATTCATAATCACAGATTGTTCCCCAAGTTTCATTGTAGAAGACCTCAACACGACCTAGACCACTTTCACTTAAAGGCCCTCGTAATCTGATCGACACATTTGTAGCTGTAGAATGGAAAGCCAGTTATATTTGTAACTCTTTTGTCTTTATTTAATCTTAATAAAGTTTTTATCCAATGAAAATGCCTTTAGGTAAAATTATATGCAAGCACTAGCAGTGATCTTGCGAGAGGGTTTTTGCGATGTGTGAGATTTGCAAATGAAAAAATGTCAGGGTGGCTGATGTGATGGAATGTTTCTGGGAGTGTGCAGGCAACAACGACGGATTTGAATACAGGAAAAAACCTTAGATTTAAGACCGGACTATTTCTTTTCGGTGAAATGACTTGTTCACGACAATTACGACAAAATTAAAAACAGGCTTATGTCGATTCTTGTGTCCCACATTTCATTATTTTGCCTTTGTCTTTCCTTAGGCTTCGTTCTCATTATGAGGTAATTGTCATGAAGAAGTCGTTTTCACCGATGGGAACTAGTCCGATGTAAAACTGTCTTCATTTCCTGAATGCTTACCAGACATTGTTGACTGAGCACGGGTAGCAATATCCTATTACATCATGACGTGAAACCAAAAATACAATTCAATGTAAACCAGACTTTATGCTAATGCTTATATCGCAACAGAAAACCAGAATTTGACATTTAATTCTTCTTTATTTGGGCAAGATTAAGGTCTATCACCCTTGCGAATAATTTGTGAAGAGTCCTATCAAACATTTCTTGCCATTTTTGGCCATTGTACTGTAGCCGAGTAAACGCAGATAATAATGGGTATACTGGCACAATTTTTTTCTCGTACCGAGTGCCAGTAAATTGACTGTAGCATAAACTTAGCCGGGACGAGGTATTTGGCACGGGAAAACATTTGAAGTGCATATTATTAAAAAACATCGAAGTTTAAATTGGTGATTGGCAATAAATCGGTAGCGGAGAGCAAATATTTCGTAACTTCACCTGTTTTACTACATTCAACTCCAGCATCTTTCGAATGACCGCAATTATTGATTCCCCATTCGGAATGAGAACATCTTGATATATTCTCTTCTTTTCCTGTACATCTGACGTCAGCTAACCATATTCGTCCAGAACCTGCAGGAACCTGCCACCCTTCAAGAGATCTGGTGGCATCTGGATAACCAAGTTGACGACATACAACCCTAGCGTCTCTAAAATCCCATCCATCATCACAGATTGTTCCCCATAGTCCATTGTAAAATACTTCTACTCGACCAGTACCGTTTTCATTTGAAGGTCCTTGTAATCTGACTGGCACATCTAAAGCTATGGAAAAAGGGAAAGGCTAATTCAGTACGCGAAAAATTACCTAAAGAGTGTAAGACAACAAAGTTAGTATTTAAATAGGCCAAGACCTCAAGCCTCGTTCTCGTGTTATGGTTTACTTCCGCACTTATTTGTTAAAATGTAAAATAAATTATCACTTATTTTTAAGGTGGTTCTAAACTTAAAACAATAATGTTGGGACGTGATTATCCAAAAGGAACATTATGCTTGCTATGGCAAGTTGCATGTCTGCAAACCGAATCCGGGCCGACGATGCGTTGCATCATAACGTGCAATGTATTGATAACATCTATTGATAACATAAATTATGTTGTATTTATGCCTAGTTTCCATTCAGTCGTTAGCTGTCGCTTATACATGTCTTTCCTTGTCTTTGGAATATTCGTGAAAGACCGATAACGAATTATGGGAATAATCATCTCATTTCCTGTCTTTTTATGTTGTTGAGATAGGATTTGTTCTATCCGAGTGACACCGTCGTCTTCTGTTTCTCCCAGTCGTTACCAGTCTTTCACGATTATTCCAAAGACACGGAAATACATGTGACGACAGCTAACGACTGAATGGAAACTAGGCATTAGCGCTCTCGAAGTGAAGTGGATTACTTCCGATTTCTATATAAGGAAATACTTGAGACTGTTGCTTGAGAACTTTCCCATGTGACTTAATAGACACTTTAGGCATTCAATTGTGCAATTAATGATTGCATATTTCAAATTGCCCAGCCAATAAGCGCTATGCCATAGCAATCAACTAAACGTGAATGTATAGGGAAGATGAAAACATGCATAATTCTTCCTACGATTCAACAAACACTAAAGTTTGACTTAAAAATTGGCAATGAATCAATATAGTAAGCAGATATTTTTGGAAACTTCACCTGTTCTTTTACATTCTACTCCAGCATCTTCCGAGTGATAGCAGTTATTTATTCCCCATTTGCGATGAAAACAGCTTGATATGCTATTTTCAGATCCTAAACAATTAACACCATCTAACCATATTCGTCCAGAACCTGCAGGAACCTGCCACCCTTCAAGAGATTTGACGGCATCCGGATAACCAAGTTGACGACATACAACCTTAGCATCTTTAAAATCCCATCCATCATCACAGATTGTTCCCCAAGTTCCATTGTAAAAGACTTCAACACGGCCAGTACCGTTTTCACTCGAAGGTCCTTGTAATCTGACCGGCACATCTAAAACTGTGGAAATGCAAAGGCTAATTCAGTACGCGAAAAATTACCTAAAGAGTGTAAGACAACAATGCTAGTATTTAAATAGGCCAAGACCTCGAGCCTCGTTCTTGTGTTAAGGCTTCCTTCACCCTTATTTGTTTAAAATGAAAAAAAATTATCACTCATTTTTAAGGTGGTTCTAAACTTAGAACAATAATGTTGTGACGTGATTATCCAGAAGGAACATTTGGTACATTAATACCAACTTTAGCTACTTTCAAGTATTATATTTTAAGCGCTGGTAAAAATGGATATACCGGTATCAATTTTTACCGTGCCAATAAATTAACGATAGTGTAAACCTGCCATGGAACTAAAAGAGTTATTTCGCTTTGACACAACAAAACATTCGAAATGGAGCCAGAAGATCATACACAACGAAGATCCTTTTTGCGAGAATTTTGCAGAGAGAGAATATTTATCAGGCACAACGCCCATTTCCGCGTTTTTAAAGCTAAATACACCAGTGGCTACTGGATTGGAGGCCACCCTTTTGGACAAGGACTACAACAAAAATGAGAGCATAAATACTGTATAGGGAAGATGAAAACGTGCATAATTCTTCCGACGATTTAACAAACACTAAATTTTCATTTAAAAATGGGCAATGAATCAATATAGTAAGCAGATATTTTTTGAAACTTCACCTGTTTTTATACATTCTAGTCCAGCATCTTCCCAATGAGTGCAATCATGAATTCCCCATCCGCGATGAGAACAACTTGATATGCTATTTTCAGTTCCGAAACAACTAACATGATCTAACCATATTCGTCCAGAACCTGCAGGAACCTGCCACCCTTCAAGAGATCTGATTGCATCTTGATAACCAAGTTGACGACATACAACCTTAGCATCTCTAAAATCCCATCTATCATCACAGATTGTTCCCCAAGTTCCATTGAAGAAGACTTCAACACGGCCAGTACCGTTTTCACTCGAAGGTCCTTGTAATCTGACCGGCACATCTAAAGCTGTGGAAATGCAAAGGCTAATTCAGTACGCGAAAAATTACCTAAAGAGTGTAAGACAACAAAGTTAGTATTTAAATAGGCCAAGACCTCAAGCCTCGTTCTCGTGTTATAACTTACTTCCACACGTATATGTTTAAAATGAAAAAAAATTATCACTCATTTTTAAGGTGGTTCTAAACTTAAAACAATAATGTTGTGACGTGATTATCCAGAAGGAACATTTGGAACATTAATAACAATTTTAGCTACTTTCAACTATTATATTTTAAGCGCGGGTAAAAAAGGGTGTACCGTTATCAATTTTTACTGTGGCAATAAATTAACGATAGTGTAAACCTGCCATGGAACAAGAAAAGTTATTTCGCTTTGACAAAACAAAACATTCGAATTGCAGCCAGAGGATCATGTATCTTGAAAATCCTTTTTGCGAGAATTTTGGAGAGAGAGAGAATATTTATCACGCACAACGCCCATTTCCGCGTTTTTAAAGCTAAATACACCGGTGGCTGCTGGCCATTCTAACTAGTACAACGGCAGGAATGGAGGCTGTCCATTGGACAAGGACTGCAACAAAAACGAGAGCGTAAATATTGTTGCTTGCCATGGCGAAGTTTTCACCTACAAAAACACGAATTGAAGAATTGCATGTCTGGAAACCGAATCCGGGCCGACGATGCGTTGCATCATAACGTGCAAGGTATTGCAAAAAGTTTTTTTTATTTTCTACGCGAGGTAGATGATCTTTTACAATAGGTTAACTAAAGTTCATTAATGTTCTCTTCTTGCTTCGTTCTTTTCTTCTCTTCAAATATTCGTCGTTGCTGTTCTTGTCTTTGGTCGTCGGTTCTATAAAGGTTGAGCTTCTCTAACGTTTCATATGCTTTTTACTCCGCTAGTCCACTGAAGGTTGGGGTGTTGTGCACTCCCTTTTATAGTGACGGTTGAGGAAAACTTGCTCACGTCATCAACCAGAGTGGGCTGATCCTTATCCAACCAATCAGCGTTGTAAGTTAGAAATGTGGGTTGGTCTGAGAAGCTCGTTTCAGCTCTCATATCTTGTTTGTTTAAGGCGTTGTCGCACTAGTCGAGTTTGTCTTCTGCTCAATCGATCAATGCTTGAAATGTTCACAACTTAAAATATTTATCATCAACAACTGGTAAAATTAACAAACAATACCTCTGTGAACAATATCTTTCAACTTAAACTATTTTAACTCTTATTTTACCGAATTGAGCTTTTGATGACGTAATCTATTACATGCTCGACCGCGAAACATTTTTAACACAATTGATTGACATAACAGCTTGCATTGCCTACAGCATGCACATTTTTTTAAAAAAATGCGACCATTAAGATAAGTGACGACTTACGACTGTTTATCCAGGTATTAGTTCTGAGAGGATTATAAATATTAATATTTTAACCTTATTACTTATTTAATCTCACGATATGTCATACATGCAAGGGAAAGGCGATTAATGTTTGCTAATGGCCGAAAATTATATTTACTCAGGCGTCCTGTGGCAAAAATCATTCACTAATCCCTGTTATGCTATTGATATTCCTTTTTTTTTATAGGTACTTTTATATGCATATCTCTATAAACGCAATAAAGCCCTGTGTGACAGTATTGATAACAGGCATTGATAACATAAATTATGTTGTATTTAGCGCTCTAGAAGTGAAGTGGATTACTTCCGATATCTAAACAAGGAAACTTGTATATCAGACAAGTCGATATTGTAACTGATCAATCGTCTACGCCTTGTCTGCATGGCCGTCTTAATCGTACGTGTCAACGGGCGTTTATATAACAAGATGCCCGCTATGTATTAAAGCTGCCTCGTGTTTATAGCGGTCGTATTTTGATCTCTGTGTTATTTTCACGAGACAGGAAGTCTTCAGCAAATTAGAAATACAAAATAGCGATTCGTTTGTCAGATTAGTTGGCGCATCAGCTATTCTTTGTGTTGCAACCCGCAGGCTAGTAAGCGCGCAATGCATTTAGACTCGATAAGAAAGGAAAATAATAATATCTACGGCAAAACTATGAACTGGCGTCATTCTGACGCACCTAATAATTATTTTTTTTGCAGACCGGATACCTGTTTTTTTGCAGACCGGATACCTGTCAGACATGCTTCGTATACACGATGAATTTTTTAACTAAAAAAAGATATGAAATGTTCGACCGGATATTCTGAAAAAGCACATGGAATATAAATAACATTATATATATAAAATGCGGTCTTTTTAACAAAACGAAAAGCGCAGATCATTGACGTGGCATTAGTCTTGGCCAACTTCAACAATATAACTGAGGGGAGAAAGCGAACCTCCAGTTGCTTAGGACTCGTGCTTTGACAATGATCCCCTCCTCACAACTTCTGCATCTTTAAATATCAACTTCCTTTTTGTTTAATGTGCCTTTCTTCTACTATAATTTCTTAAAAAGGCTCCGTGCTCGCTATCGCGAAGACCTCACTTAAGGCTTATTTAGATGCAATTATCATTCTGACGAATGCAAAGGAGGACAAATGCCACTATATTCATCAAGTTCTGTTAAGGGCGGAATTTAAAGTGTTACGTTTGCATGACTGTGCCGGTACATGTTTATACGACACTATCTGCATGTCTAAAGGTCGCCGTAAATCCTGGCGTATCGCCGAGTCTGAAGCTAAATCTTTTGAGCGGAAACCTGAAGTCTGACTTGATAGCTGTCCGTATAGAAAATTAACGAATTTCCGAAAGCTAATGGTAAAATTTGATTTGGACGCCAGAACCATTTCATTCTCATACTTGTTTTCTTGACCGTGTGTCCTAATGCAATACTAGCTACTTACTAACTAACTGAGTTTGAGGTCTGTAAAGGCGCATGGATTTACATTATGCGATTTGTTGTATACGATTCGTACCCATGCATATAGGAACGAAATGCAGAGCTTATGACTATCCACATTAATTCCGCGTCCAACTCGGCGCAGTTAAACGAAGTTCTATACCTCCCAATATTATAATCATTTTTATTTATACCAATATGAACATGATTACATATTACAACTTATAACTTCATACAAGTCTATTGAATGTGGAATTTTTCATAAAATTAATAAATATGAGTCTTTTTACCTTTGCACCGCCAAGGCAAACGTTTCCCAGCAAATATAACGATAGTTATGAAGACGTAACTCAGCATGGCTTTAAAGTTGGCTTCACGCAACGAGGAGGAAACAATGCAGTGGCGTCGCCTGCTTGGTAAGTGGCGGGACTTATTCATATATTCGTGTTTTACATTATTCATTTCTTTTCAAATTGATTGTTTTTACGGTATGTGAACATGAATATATGAATATTTCCGCCCCACTTATCGATGCTGGGATGCCACTAAAGCGATGTATAGAATAATGATTGCTGGCATGCTGCATAAGCCTTCCCGGCCCACGTGAAGCACTTCCTCTTCTTAGTATCGTAATATCATGGACTTTGGAAAAAGCTAACAAAAGTTTTTGAATATTTTCTAAATTTAATCTCGGAAGATACAGCGAAATAATTATTTGCATAACTATAAGGACTCGTCTACACGATGCCAAAGAATTTGAAAACGGAAGAATATTTTACTTTGAAATAATTATGTGAACAAATATTTTAAGTTAAAATGTCGATTGGGAATCAATTAAATAAATACCCCTTTATACGAGGGAACGTGGTTTCATGGGCGGGATTTTAAACGCTACGCGTCATGTCGTCGTTTTCATATCCTTTTCAAATTTATTTGGCAAAGCCGTTCTCGCGTATCCGCTCAGTGGTTTTCAAATTCCGCAGGTACAACACCCTCGGCATACTTTACAACAAGCCTTCTTAACTTCAACAGTCACGTCAATTAAAGAGAACTCTATAATTATTATGTGAACAGGAGCGATAATTCCGGCGGCCCTTTGTTGAAGCCAATCTTGGACCGAATTGAAGGAATTTTAGTCTAGTCTTTTAAGTAACACTTTTTAATTTACTTTCTTGTCATTTTTATTAGTAGTTTGTTTGCCTTCTGATGTTGCATATTTTGTTCAAAACAACGTGCTCTCGTTTTACTTTTATTGAAGTATACTGTTTAATTTCATGAAAGCGAAACAATTTTGCATAATAGGGTGTTTGCATAGTAAGAATTCGCCACATTAAAACAAAATTATTCTGTCGGAGTCTTTTGTCTTTTCGACTTCTTATTATAATAAAATCATAGCCATATCTTGAAATAAACGTTCTTAACTTTCACATATTTGGCGGCGTATACTTCACACATTTCGCTTTACATCAACGCCAATATCAGTATTTAAAGTAATGTATAGCTAAATGAGATTGTGGTAGACAAAACACTGTAACATTGTGACTACAACAGCCTTATCGTCCCAAAAAGAATTGTCGAGGGGGCAAATTTTCCACCTACAATGCGCCCAGCGTTTTTGCAAAGAACTAGTTTTAAAACAAGCAGATAATGATACAAAATAAAACTGCTAAAAAACACTTCATACTTTATCAACAATCACGAAACTCGTACAGTATAGCCACAACGCTATGAAAGACCTGTGGGCAACAAAAGAAGTCATGTTGTGTATAGATGTAAAAATTGTCGTATGTTAAATTTGAAAATTTTACTCGAATAAAGGGTGATGTTTCAGCCACGATATACTCTAGGGATCAACTTAATTTTTTTTAAACATTTTAAATATTACTACATAAAATATTAGATTTTAAACTTACCTTTATTTCGTGAAGGGGGCAGCAAACGGATTGAAGTTATCAACGTTTGAAATTTTATCAAAAAACAAGGCGTTTACAGCGAAGGCATTTTTGGCCACAATTTCTCCACCACAACAGCTTTCATTTTGAATGAACAAAAAATATATAGCCAAAATATGAGTTTATTAATAAATTGCCTAAATTCATGTTCGCAAGAGAAAAAGGAAGAAAAAATATACATGAAAACAACTCAAACCAAAATGCATATTTTTCCCAAATTTCTCAAAAACCTGCTTTACCATGCAGGCTACTTCCGCACAACACGTCGATCAGCGCGCTATAACTATAAGCGCCCTTGACAGTTTATACATGCATATGCATGGGATTTTTAAAAAAATGCAGGAACCACACTGAATTGAAGACATCAGTTTTTATCAAGAAAACAAGTAATTGAGCAATCATATTTTGTTTTACTTTTTAACGTCAAGGAAATACCAAATTGTCCAGAATCTGAAAATTTTCAGAATATATAATTGTTCAGAAAAATTTGCATATTCTATTCGACAGGATGGAATGAAAGAGATTCAGTTATAGATGATGTGCGGGATCTTATATTGCATGTGTTTATATATTAATTAAGCAGGTAGCGGCGTGGCAGCGTCTTCGCTTCAAATGTGGTATATAATAACTACCTGAAATGGACAAAAATATTCAAACGTTTCGACCATGCACGAATAGAAAATAAATATTTGTTGAAGAAAGAGGCTTGCAAAATACGATTTTCATTTTTGTTTCAAATTGCTTAGAAATTCCTGGATTGATTAGGGTGTCGAAATTCATCAGCACTAGCTAGTAAGTTAGTTAGTCTATTTTTGAAACAAATTGGGAGCCGAAAGGAATTTTATTGTTTAATATCATGCGGTCCTAATCTTAATAAACGAAGTTTCCATTTTATCGTAATTGTCGTGAACGAGTCATCTTCACCGATGAGAAATAGTCCAGTTTTTAATTTGTCTTTATTTCTCTATTCAAAATTGAGACGCATATAATTGCAAATAAATAGAAATATTTCATCATGCACATCAGCCACCACTGACATGTTTACGACACTTACGACTTCATGGAACTAAGCGTTAGGCATGGTTCACACTTGATCTAAGAATCGGGGATCCATTGTAATTTTTTCTGCCAGAAAAAGGATTTTGCGCACCAGTGCATGACCGCAGACAAACAGAGTCCAAGATTCTTGCGACAAGTGTGAACCAGGCTTAAACGTTCTATTATCTTTATTAATAGTCAAGAATCCCTTTGCGCTTTCAAATTCGCTGATTCGTCTTTTGTGGAGAAAAAGCCGGATTCTCGTGGACGGAAGTGGGCCTCTCTATCTTTACCCGTTTTGACGTTTTCAAACTTATTCGAATACGTTAGGACTGGTGGTAAATCAGCGGAGGTTTAAACATTAATTTCTTCTCGAGGGGTAATACTGTGACCTTATATTAAGCTACAGATGGACTACACCTAAAATAACTAAAATATACTCCTTTATATTGTTTGCGTACCAGAATTCTTTAGACAATTGTGCTGCTAGAATGTGATTACAAGCCTCAAATTCCATGGACCAAACGCCTTTTATGTTGCTAACCAATGTGGATATTAATCAATATTATGTGTTGTTTATTTTCATACACTTTGCACAAGTGAACATACCTATCTCAAAAGATTGGTTTTGAAACGCAAAAAAATTGCCTGCAAACGTCTACAGAGACTTTACTATAAGAACGGTAAGACTTTTTCGCGCGTAATCCTAACTTACACAAAATTCACACGATATTTCTCTAGCAGAGGTAAATATCGCCGTGAGACTGCCCAAATTTGGGTAGTGCGCTGACTGCGCTCTTATTAGCTATCGTCAAACGTAATATCGAACCGTGTTTACAAAATCCTAATCAATTTCTAGAAAATAGTAATTGTTAGCCAATCAGAGTGGATCAACAACAGACTAGCAACAGATCATATCAACCATGCAGAAAAGTAAATATTACATGCATGCACTGATCATCTGTATTATCCGATTAGCACTAATTATATTGCCATGTTTAGATATTTTCATGTCATGTCTTGTCACTTAATTGTAGTGTGATAATATTATTTGCAATATCTCAGGCTGTCATGTCAGTTTTTGTCCTACAATTTCATATCTTATTTGGTCTTGTATTGTCATCAGATTTTATCAATTTTTCAGATTTCATTACTCACTTTTCCATATTTTCCCTAGTCAAAGTAGGTTAGTTAGCCTTCAAGGCAAGGAAAAGGGGCTATTTTAGGGGGCTAGGTTTTTTTTACTCACCCTGTAGTACTTGAAAACTCATCCTTGTCCCCAGGGCCTAGCTAGCTCTGTGGAGAGCAAC